ACTGATGCATGAGCATGGGATTAAAATTTGTTCTGTTGGTTTTTGCACAGCTTTACGAGGTTTTTATTGTTGGCAATTAAAAGGGTAAATTTACACCTGTGGTGCTTTGAAATATACTAATGAATAAAATGTACATTATTGTTATTGATTTAGCTGGGCAAATAAAGCGATGCTTTTAATTAAAAAGTTTTGTTGAAAAATCAAAACATGCAGAAAAAGAGAAATGCAAGGATAAATGTTTACTAAATAAAATCATTGCATACTTGGGGGCGTCTTGAATTCTTCAAGAAAATATTTATAATATTATTATTCAAATATTTTAGTCCGTCAAAATTCCCAGTCTGACATTTGCTGAAACTTTGATGACAAAGAGTTCATTTCTGCGAACTTTAGTATCCCCAGAAGAAATCCTGTCTTAATTCTTTGCTCATAAAGCGTTATGCTAATCAATAGGCCGTTCCTTGCATAATTTAGGGTGCCATAAAAGGGCCAATTGAAGTCTTAACGGGGGCAAAAACAACGACAACTGTGCGCAATTAGCGGATTTGGGCAACCAAAAACAAAGCGAACGCTTTGTTCCCTCTTTTCTGAGATTTTCAGCTTCTGTTTTCGCTGGTGTTGGTGTTGCTTTTATTGTTGTTGTTGGTGTTATGACCGTCGTTACTTGTTATTGCAGGCAATTAAAAACGTACGCCCAACACCCCCAAAGCCCAAACCCAAGCCGAAACCCACACATACAGAGAACACACCCCTTGGATTGCATAAAATTTTGTTTGATAATGTTAAAGTGCCGCGCAAACAAATCAAAAAGCATATTGAAATTGGGTTAATGTACGGAGGCAGCCAGTCCGGATGCGAGTCCGCATCCAGTTGGTCTGGTGGTGTCCTTAGCCGCTGTTTGCTTTACGGGTTTTAATCCGAAAATTAAGCGCGAGCTGAGCATTAAAATTCGCTACCCATTTCGAGGGAGGTTGCCCCTTCAGCGACGCGACGCCGACTGTTGTTTCAAGATAAAAACTTCATGTGCGTTGGAAAAACACACGGGAAAAGAGCAAAGGACCAAAATGTGGGGGGTTGGGTGATAGAGTGCACAGAGAAAAAAATGGTTTAATAAATTTAATATACATTAAATAAACCTGCACTATACCATTCCTCCGATTTTGCTATTCGATTTAACTTTCCATACAATTATGATTGATCAGGGAATAAAATAGGGATTTATTTCTGAGGCAAAATTTATCCTGCTAAAATACTTGATAACGGATTGCTTTTATTATTCGATTTAATCGGTTTAATGAGTAATGAGTCTTATATTCTCTATTTTGTTCTTTATTTTCCCTATTAACTTTTCTCTGAGTGATTGGGCATTTTGGCACTAACAGGAGCGGAGCTCTTATCGTTTTGGCTCCGGCATATGTTACGCACATTGGCAACGTATGGCGAGTTTTCCGCTTTCCCCAGCTTCCTACCTTTCCACTTTTCCGCCTTCCCACCTGATAGGACACCTCGGGAATGTGTGTGGGAATCTCGGAGCGGAACGAGTACCAGGTACAAATACCTGAGACCAGAGTGCCGCGCAAGTTTCTCACACTTCCAGGACATGTGCTGCTTTTTTGCCGTATTTCCCCGACTGGTTATCAATTGGCCGAACTTGGAAATCCCCGGATGGCTATGCGCTAGCGTGAGAACCGATCGGCGAGCAGCGGGTTTTTAGCATATCCATACCTGTGGAGCAGCAGGATCGCTTGTGGCAAGTAGGATGTTGGTCGAAGGAAATAGGAAACAGCGCCTCGCCCGCAACACCCACATTAGCATCGGACCAGCGGCCAGTGTCCTGTTAATTGCTTTATGGACTCTCTAGTTTCCACTGCGTGGGAATCCTACTCATCCTACCTGTATATCCCTATATCGACTATCGACTCCTTCTCGCACTTTCTCCGTGGGGAACTCTCTAGTTCAAGTTCAGTGGGAATATCTGTGTTGACTTTATTTTTAAACTTTTACCCATTTGTTTTAGTTCGCTGTTTGCCTGTAACCAGATTAAGGTCAAGTTGGCTGGCAGAGATTCGACTCGGCTTGGGATCCGGTTCATCGAGTCGCCAGTCGAATCATGACTCTGATTTTTATACACTTTCAGGGAAGGATCCAGTAGGTTTTTGATCAGAAAACTGTTAAAATTAAATGCAAGTTTTTTGAGATTTATATTAAAAACGGAAAATGAAAATTTGTGAATGCACTTTTTCAAGAATGCGATTATAAACGTTAAGGGGGGAAATACAATTAGAAGGCCTGAAATGAGGGCTATCTTTGGGAGTGGATTGCAAGTAGAGTATTAAATGAATCTTAGTGATTCTTTTTGCATGTTATTGGGTAATTATTGAGCAATAAAAATCAGTCAAGTTTTTTGAAAAATATTGTAATTAAGCCCATTTATGATCAATAATGTGGAGTCGTGTTTTTAGGGAAGGACTTTGCGCCGTGCAGTCTCCAGGTCCAGGATCACGACTTAAACAAAAAACAGCAACTGGGCTTTAAACTTAAAGGTACAGCGCACACCATGAATTAAACCATATTTAAAAAAAATTATTTTTCCATTAAAAAATTTTAGGTTAAAAAAAAATTCAAAAATAACGGTTTTTTTTTGAGTTTGATTGTAAAAAAAACATGTTATAACAAACAAATATGAAAAACCGTTATATTCATGGTGTGGAGAATTTAATTTCAAACATAATGCAAAAAACCGCATTCGATTAAAATAAAATCTCTGACCTGTACATTGCACGGCGACTTTGAAAACACGACTTTTCAGGAGAAGCGTTTAAAGTTTACTTTTGTGCATGTCCGCCATATGACACACCCTCACTAAATTGCGTATAACTCTGAAAATAAGTACCGGACGGCTTTATGCTTTTAAAGGCTTACTCCCAGATATATTTGGAGTACATTAAGCCAAAAAAAAATTTTTCGAAAAAAAAAAATTTCTAATTGTATTTCCCCCCTTAAGAGATATGCCACTTTGGAATCTGATTAAAATTGACAAAGTTTCTGGAACTCCATATTTGGGCCACTATCCTGAAATCTATTTAAAGATTGAAAAAATCGGACATGAATTGTGGTCAAAAATTTTAACGCAGATTGTTTAAGAAGTTTAGAGGTATGCCATTCCGAGTTCGGATCAAAATTGACAAAGTTATGGGAACCGCCTTTTAATAAATAACCGCATTTATTCTTCATTAATGTTGTTCCATATTCTTGAAGACAATTTTACCTACTTATGCGTACAGAGTAATGATTGGATTCTGTTTTTGATTTCCTTTTGCCGGAATTGAAGTTCTCACTTCCGTTCTTTTATGATTGAGATTATGAGAACCGATGCTGATATATCATTGGATATGCTTGTATTTATGACTTTATGAATTGCTGTAATGTTCGTTAGCAAAAGTAGCAGACATCCTGAATAATTTTGACCCACTTACTGCTCGTAAACTATCCTATTATACGGATTTCGCACCATATGATACCCATACCCCTGGTTGGCTGACTCCTGTCCGCATTTCGAGGCATTTATAATAATCGCGGCCTAAATGGGAACGCCTCTGCGTTTTTCCCTTTTTCCCCTGGACTTTTTTCTTTATAGGGAAAGGGAAGCGACCTCACTTCAGTCGTGCATGTTGGCACATTTGCCTTGCGGATTAGCGCGGAATGCTCTTTATACTCTATAGGATTACGATCGTTGAGCAAATCTGTTGCTCCTGCGAATGCGTAACGGATGCCGCCAATTCGCTCAATCTCTGACTCTTGACAAATGTTTCATTTCTTGATGGCATCACTACAAATTGTTAGAAAAACAGAAACAATTTGTTAAAATTATACAATATACCTACCTATTAAATGTTATTAATATATTTTCTTTACTTCATTTTTTAAATATTAAAAAGAATCTTATAGAACAAAAATTACTATTTTTGTAATTAAAAAAACAAGAACAAGAATATTTTATAATTGGATAATCGTAAAATCTACCTTGATATTTCATTGTTTAATTTTTTACTACCCTTTTTTAGTGTAGTCTATGAGGGGCTTTAATGTCATTCACTAGACGAAAATGCATTAAAACTACGTGACCTAAGTCAATAAACTTGTAAATACGTGCGAATTCTTTGCTCTGCGGCCAATCTAGGTAAATGGCCAAGTTCTTTAAAACTGCCAAAAAAAGTGACTCGATGGAAAATAAAGCAGCAGGAGTCCCAGTGGCTTAGATTTTGGCAAAACTGCGCCAAAATCACGTTCGAAAACTATCAATGGCAAGACGCTGGCTGTGGGTCATCCTGAAATACACACTCACTTCTATATTCAGCCACCTCCTAAACTCTCGTTTTGTGGGCGAGTGTGCGTGGGACATCATTTGTGTATTATGTGCTCATGCAGACACACGAATACACGAATATATACATATATAGATATAAGTCAAACTCCTGCGGTCGGCAAAAGTCAACCTGTTGAGTGCAGGAGTCATCAGGTCGAGTGAGATGGCAACTATTTCCGCACTTCCGGTTTGCCATTCAGCGAAATTGTTAAGATTGCGAAAAGTCAATTGCCAAGACAACAGGTAAAAATCAGTTCAACCAATGGCAGGTTGTGTTTTTCGAGTCCACATCAGGTAGAAGATCCTTTTCGGGATCAGTTTCGAAGCTGTTAAAAGTGGTTGTCCTGGCAGAAAGGAACTCAGTTGCAAACAGGTGATTGCAGGGAGATGAGCAAGTGCTGAGGAAGTGCTGTGACCGTTTTAAAGCAAAGTTTATAAACCAGTTTATTTTATTGTTAAAAAAATACGAATTTAAAATGACAAACCATCGCAGAGTGCGCAAGGATTGCTACGAGAGCAGATTGCATGGTCGGTTGTGGTTTTTAAAAACTGAATTTTCTTTTCAAACCAAAAATCCCCCTCGTTCAATCAATGATTTTTTATTTGAATTCGCTGTTATTTCTTTTTTTTGCAGATATAGCCAAAACGTGTGCCATGAAGGAGAAAAGCAAAAATGCGGCACGCACCCGACGTGAAAAGGAAAACACGGAATTCTGCGAATTGGCCAAATTACTGCCGCTGCCAGCGGCGATTACTTCGCAACTGGACAAGGCCTCCGTCATCCGGCTGACCACATCGTATTTGAAAATGCGCCAAGTCTTTCCCGATGGTAAGTTGCGCTTTTCCTCACTCTCTCTCCGAATTTCCCTCCCACCCCAATTGTAGTGGAAAAGCTCACTTGATTGCCGCTCAATTTGTCGCCGTTCTTGGCTTTTCATCTCGTGTGAATTACGCCTTGTGGCAATGGCAAATGATGCGGAATGCTTGACAGCCACGCGACCGACACGCTCATTATAATCCAACCTCGTCGTATCCTCGCAGCAGGACACATTCCTTTGTTTTCCTTTTAACTTCGATATACACTCTCGGGTTCTCCTATTTTTTTATCATGCAACTTTTCAAGTTTAAACGGCGATGTTTGTTTAAAGCATATGTTTGGCGAGGACAAGCCGGGGAAAACCACTCAACAATGGGCAGACAATAAACAGCAGGATAAAGTGGGCCGGAATGGGTGGCAAGTTGGCTGGTTTGGCTGGTTTGGCCGGTTGGGGGTGGCTAAAACACAATGGCGTCTGTTGTTTCACTCAAAAAGCGACGAGCAACGAGAGCCGCACTGGAAATCTCGCTCCCTTTTTCCCACTTTCCCGGGATTCTCTAAGGGGAAAACCCCCCTCTACGCTCATGTGAGTGTGCGCCACTGAGATTTTCTGCTGACAAAGAGGGTTGCTCAAGAGGGGTGGCCCGATGGGCGGTGGGCGGTAAAGGGGATGTGGACGGGTGTCGCTCCCATTGTTGCCGCACCGTTTTGTGCTTTTCTTTTCTGCCTTTATTGAAATAATTATTTTAATAATAGGCAACAAACAACAAGATCCGGACGGACCAAGGAAGTGCCGCAGTATATACACGACAATATAGTATGCTATGCTATATATCCTGCGAATGGGAAGTGGAAAGTGGAAAGGGGGAGGGGAAGGGGAAGGGGAAGGAGATTGTGGGCTGTGAATGGGCCACCTACCGAGCTCGATGACTTTAATTGGGAATAATATTTAGACGTCAGCAGTGGCAAGTAGGGCGTGTGTCGCTGCTGCTGGTGGGAATTTTGCGAATTAAGATACTTCGACCGGATGACAAACAATTAATTCGAGGCATTAGGGCGAAACTTGTCAACGGGATGGCAAATTGGAATTAAATAAATGCGAATATTAGCAACAGAAATTAGAGATAGATATGTTAGTATTATAACAATATGTCTTCTTTTTTAATAATAAATTTAAATTATGTTTTTTATTCATTTATGATACTTTTGCTTAGTAAATTGTTTTTTATGTGATTAAAACACAACGATGAAGTAAATTGTATGTGAGAGTTATTTAATAAATCATTATAGTGCTTTTAAGAATTATATATCCTTATTTTCCAGGACTTGGCGAAGCCTGGGGCTCATCGCCCGCCATGCAGAGGGGCGCCACCATCAAGGAGCTGGGCTCCCATCTCCTGCAAACGCTGGACGGCTTCATCTTCGTGGTGGCTCCGGATGGGAAAATCATGTACATCTCAGAAACGGCCTCCGTGCATCTGGGACTCAGCCAGGTGAGTGTCGTCGGATCTCTTGTCCTGATTTATGCGCATAAATTGCCGGGCCACCTGAGGTTGTCTTTTTGTATCCCGGCCACCACTTGCATTTGCAAGTCAATGGGCCTGGTTAAAGGAACCCAAGTGCTGTGGCTCCACAAAAGACGATTCATTTGCATTTGCCCACTAATTGGCACTCAGTGATGGCTAGGAAAATATATTAAATCAGTTAGGCAATTTTTATTTGCTTACACGAAAATCAAAGTAAAAAACAAAACAAAATAAATATATTTTCCCCACAAAGCCTCACAGTTTTCCTTAAGCTTTTAAATTTGAAAAAATAAATTTCTTTTGGTTGTTATTAAATCTTCTTAATAATTATAAAATATTTATTTAATTATATTATCCAGGTGGAACTGACGGGCAACTCGATATTCGAGTACATCCACAACTACGATCAGGACGAGATGAACGCCATTTTGTCGCTGCATCCGCACATCAACCAGCATCCAGTGAGTACAGCCTGCACTTCGACCGATTCTCTCGAGACATTTCACAATGTTTTCCCTCTCTCTCTCTCTCTCGCTCTCTATCTGTTGACTTCTCTATCGCACTTCGATTTGTACTCACGCCACAGGCCGCCTTTCTCAACTCCCTACAGCTCGCCCAGACGCACACGCCCATCGGCAGTCCCAATGGCGTCCAGCATCCTTCGTCCTACGACCACGATCGCGGATCGCACACCATCGAGATCGAGAAGACCTTCTTCCTGCGCATGAAGTGTGTCCTGGCCAAGAGGAACGCCGGCCTCACCACCTCAGGATTTAAGGTAATTTAACTATCACATAAATAACTGAAGGTTTACTAGATAGAGAGATCCTTCTGCATGTATGAATCAACGATGACAAATCCTTATGAAGAAGTAAAGATTATTTAAGGAGAAAAGGGAATTAAATATTGTAGATATTTATTATATTTTTATCTGCTTTTTAGGTGATACACTGCTCTGGCTATCTGAAGGCTCGCATATATCCCGATCGCGGGGATGGACAGGGCAGCCTCATCCAGAATCTCGGCCTGGTGGCCGTCGGTCACTCGCTGCCTTCCTCCGCCATCACAGAAATCAAGCTCCATCAGAACATGTTCATGTTCCGGGCCAAGCTGGATATGAAGCTCATCTTCTTCGATGCTCGGTGAGTTGAGTTCTAAAAAATATATTTAAAAGGGAGTAGGTTATCAAGGCTTTTAAATTTTCAAATAATTAAGCGTGAATCTTAAATAATATTTTATTAGGAGACGAAGAGATTGCAGTTAGTTAAATATCCTTGTAAGAAAGATGTTATCTTTTCAATTCTCTTAAAAATCCGTTTTGAAAGATAATTTTAAATAGAAATTTAGTTTGGGGTTACCTACTCCTCCTTGTTTTCCTCACTGCATCAAAAAAATCCTTGAAAGTATCCTTTGCCTGTTTGCCGTACATCCGACACTAGGCAAATATTTAAACGGGCCGCCGAATTCGCTTTTACGCCGCGATAAAAAGTTCCAGCAACCGCCCCCAAAAGATAATGTTTTCAAAGTGCTAAAAAACAAAGAAAAAGAGAATAGAATAGGGAAAAGGAAATGTAAGCAAGACGGGTCGACATGACGAAAAGAAAAACAAATCATTTCCCTCTTGAGCTTGATTTCCCTTTGTCAGTGTGTGTTTCACTGTGTTTGTGTGTGTGTGTTCGTTTGGGGGGAAAGGGACTTTATGTAAAAAAAACCAGCCCACTTTGTCTGACATTATTGTCACTCAATTACCCTCATGATGCCTCGGCATATTGCCATCCTGTTCTGGCGCCCTTCCTGTCCTCCGTGAACAACCCCAAAGTGGTGAGCTGGTGACCAGAAATCAGCCCCTTTTCCCCCTCCTGTTTTGTTTTTTCTGCATAATTGAATTGGAGTTGACAAAAGCAAAGCAAAAGCAAGGCAACCGAATAAAACACACCAGCGACAAAGGCAACACCAATGACCACTCATTGTTTGGATTTGCCAGCCAAAAACCTCGAAACTTATCCCAAACTTATCCCGGTTGCCTGTTTATTTACTTACAGCGTATCGCAGCTAACCGGGTACGAGCCGCAGGACCTCATCGAGAAGACCCTGTACCAGTACATCCACGCCGCGGACATCATGGCCATGCGCTGCTCCCATCAAATCCGTAAGAAAACACCTTCTTATCCACTGCAGAGTGCACTAAGCCATGCACTGAAAGAAAAACCTCAGAAGAGGATAAAATAAAATGTTTCTATTAATTAGTAAAGTTTGGTTTGGTAAAAAAATTAAAGTTTCATGAAACAGTAAAATTATGACATTAAAAAACTCATAAATAAGTAAAAAGCAAGTTTCGCTTTATTGAAATGAACTTATTCAAATTAATTGTAGTTTACTAACTTAACTTAAGTTGTTTTGGGTCAATTTTTATCAAAAAACACACAAACAAAAAACATTAGAAAAGTATTTTTTAATCTTTTTAAAATCTAAAGTAAAGGAACATTTTTGAGTGGAATATTTATTTTTTAAAAACTCTTTACCCTTAATTTTAACCATTTATATATAGTCTTGTGTAATGGCTTATTGTATCTCCTTATTATTTCTTCTTTACAAATTTGTACTCATTTTATCTTTCTTAACCTGCAGTGCTGTACAAAGGCCAAGTGACCACGAAGTACTACCGCTTCCTGACCAAAGGCGGTGGCTGGGTGTGGGTGCAGTCCTACGCCACCCTGGTGCACAACTCGCGCTCCTCGCGGGAGGTGTTCATCGTGAGCGTGAACTACGTGCTGAGCGAACGAGAGGTGAAAGACTTGGTGCTGAACGAGATTCAGACGGGCGTGGTGAAGCGGGAGCCAATTTCTCCGGCGGCACAGGCGGCCCAAGCGGCAGCGGCGGCGGCAGCAGCGGCGCAGGCAGCCCAAGCGGTGCAGGTGGTGCCCCAGCAGTCGGTGGTGCAAGGGCAGTGCGCCGTTGCGACGGGTCAGCCGGTGGGTCCGGGAACGCCTGTGAGTCTGGCTCTGAGTGCCAGTCCCAAGCTGGATCCCTACTTCGAGCCCGAGTTGCCACTGCAACCACCCAACGCAGTGACTCCCGTGCCACCGAACAACAACAGCAACAGCAGTAACAACAACAACAACAACGGCGTGTGGCACCACCATCAGTTGCAACAGCAGCAGCAGCAATCGGGGAGCATGGATCACGACAGCCTGAGTTACACGCAACTCTATCCGCCCTTGAACGACCTTGTGGTCAGTTCGAGCAGCAGTGTGGGTGGTGGCACCGCCTCGAGTGCAGGCGGTGGATCGAGTGCATCGGCCTCCTCGTCCGGCGTCTACTCCACGGAGATGCAATATCCGGACACCACCACCGGCAATCTGTACTACAACAACAACAACCACTACTACTACGACTACGATGCCACGGTGGACGTGGCCACCTCGATGATCCGACCCTTCTCCGCCAACTCGAATAGCTGCTCCAGCAGTTCGGAGAGCGAGCGGCAGCTGTCCACCGGAAATGCCTCGATTGTGAACGGCACCTCGCCGTCGCAAACCACCTACAGCGATCTAAGTCACAACTTCGAGCTGAGTTACTTCTCCGACAACAGTTCGCAGCAGCAGCAGCAGCATCAACAGCAGCAGCAGCAACATCTGATGGAGCAGCAGCACCTGCAACAGCAGCAGCAGCAGCAGCAACAGAGATTGCAGACGCAACAGCAGCAGCAGCAACACCAGCAATACCACTATGCAATGCCCCACCAGCAACAGCAACAGCAGCAGCAGCAACATCAGCGGGTTGTCAGCGATTTTGCGGAGAGTTTCAAGAGCGTTAATGCGGCTGCTGCGGCGGCGGCGGTGGTGGCCACGCCCCATTACACCAGCGTTATTGTGGAGCCGCAGCACTATATACCCAACGATTTTGTGCATTAACAGCAACTCGATGTTGCTGTTGCTGCTGCTGTTGTTGTTGTTGTTTCTAAAACGCCGACTGCCCCCTCCGCCGGATTCAAGTTGTTGCAATGTTATATACGTACGAATATATTATATATCTTGTATATCTGGTATATCTGGTGCACCGCTGAGTTCTCAGTTCCAAATTGTAATATGTGGCTGAGCCACAACAGATCATCTGAATTTCAAACCCCGCCCCAATTCTCTTTTATTTATTGGATAACTTATTTCCCCCGTTCACGTTAATTATGCAAAGGTTCAGTGTAAAGTTATAAAGAAATCGACTCAAAGCAAAGGAAACAAAAATTGAAAAAAACGGAAAGATCCTTGTTAACAAATGCAAATGCAAATACAAATTCTATAATAAATAGTTGTAAGACCTAACTGTAAAATGTTCATATAAACTAACTTAAATTAATTGCACATACTTATACTTAACTATATCGTAATGCGCATACATTTGGCCCCTATAATTATAATACGGAAAGGTGTGTAAATAGTGCCGGGTCCGCTCCACTATGCAGATATCGAATATGATCTTCATAAGTCAAGTAAATAACTGTAAATGTAAAATTAACTATTATCGCAAATTTTTCTAATTTGAATAAACAAATTATTATGTGGGTGAACAATAAGCGAACGAGCGTTCAATTATTTCAATAGGCCGCATTTGGAAATCACGATGCTAAAGTTAATAGTTTTTATTTAATTTAGTGATGTTAATTTAGAAAATAAAATGTTATTTAGAAAATAACTTTTTAGTTTATTGATTGGTTTTCTTTGATTTTCTTGCTTTTTAAGTTTTTATTGTTTTTTTATGTTTACTATATTAAATTTAGTTTTGAATAAATAGTTTCAAAAATAAGGAAGGGGAAAAACAATTAAAGCCTTTTGTAACGGTCATTTCAAAGTATGACCAGCTCGTGCAAGAATTGCCACTCGTAGATGTAAAAAACATGTGCTGCCAGACCGACGCATTTAGGTCACAACCTCACAACTCTTATATCTCTCTTATAAACATGTATATTTTACTTATATTGGTCAGCTCTTTATAAGAATTATACACACGTTTTCTACAAGTTATTTTTGGCGCCCTCTGGAGCTCAGTTATGAGGTCCTTATTTCCAACGACTTATTTTAATCCTTAAAAGGTACTCAATTTTTGTACCTCGAAAAGGAGTTTGAAAGCATGGTACCTATTAAATTAAAACGCACCCAATTGTTTAGCTTCTTACATATGTTAATAATTTTAATTTTATTTTTGGAAGAACAAAATGTTTTGTGATAGCGTATCGTAAAGTAAAAAGAATTTTACTTTTCATTAAAATAGAGTGAGCTGTAGATTTAAAATCTCTTTAATAACCTCATTTGAGCTTTCAAGTTAAATATCTGCTGGATTTTCTCAACAACGCAGTAATGGCGTTCAAAATAGCAAGTACAAATTTACATTTTTGCAAATTTTGTACTCCAATAAAATGCAGTAAACTGGCTTCATCCCAAGTTTCCGATCTTAATGAATACTAATCGAAGACTCTGAAAATTCTAACCAGCCACCTTCGCAGTTCAGGGTGTTTGCATGTGGCCAAAGTTGCTGCTGTTGCAGCATAAACTGTGAGCCAAGCGAACAGAACCCTTTTGGCCAAGTCGTTGGCCCGGGATGAAATAGTTGGCCCGTTTTGCGGGGTGGGTGGTTCAGAGCAGACCATTGATTTATTGCCTGCCATTTTGTGTGAACCGGCCGACTAGGCTTTTTTTTCTGTTTCAAGGGATGTGCTCTATCTGCAGATAAGCCTGACCTCTTTTGGGCTAGGCTAATTGGCGTTTTTCAATTGCCACAAAACACCGAACGGAGTGAGCAGGCACATTGCACTTTGTGTTTCAGTTGGCAGCAGTCAGCAGGCAGCAGGCAGACCCTTGGCTAATTTATTTCTTGAAGGATTTTGAAAAGTTTACGCCTCGCCAGCACATAGACCGCAAATTATTTAATTGCCATCTGGCCATGCCCCCTAAAAGGCGAATGCCTTTGCGGCTCAAGGACTTTGCTCCGATGCAATAATTTAAGTGCAAGCAAACCGCAACTTTCTGGCTGAAGCACGCACACTCCCAGTCACACAAACGCAACGCACAGACAGAACTTGGCCAACATAGACAAAAAAAAAAAAGAAAGGGGAAAAGGGGGAAAAGCAAAGGCGGAGAGAAAATGGCCAGAAGGCAAAGAAGTCATATTAAAAATGAACAAAAGCAAAACGCAAAAAACAGACGTGGGAGTTGCTGTTGCAACCAGTTGAAGCTGAAGCTCCAGCTCGAGAATTCCTGCCCCAATGCCCCAGAGCATCTAGTCTCTTCTGTGGCTTTCGGCCTTGCCCCTCGTTGCAAATGCACTTTAATAATGAAAGTTGCGCTATTTCGAGGAACATTGAAAACATCTCGGTATGCAAACCTAATTTTGGTTTTCGAAAAACGCAAGTACTCGCCGGCCAGAGCAAAGTATTTCAATTTCAAATTCGTAACGAACTTACGTGCCAGCTGGCCAAGTGGACTCCAGCTGGAGTTGGTCAGATCCTGCACTTTTGTCCTGGCCAAGAGCGAGGACTCCACTTTGCCACCAGGTCGCATTTCGAATTAATGCAAGCCCGAGCCCGAAAGTGTGTGCCACTGGCATACTGGAATTAAATGAAATGAAATGCGGCTCTTCGCTAGAGATGCAAGGCGACGATCCAATGCAATGGTGGCATAATCCACTTAAAATATATTCATGATTATGCAGCTGCCGAATGACAGCAAAAGTTATAACGAAATCAATTTAATGGTTTTTCGGAATTTCAATTTATTGGTTTGCAATAAGGAGCATCAATGCTGACTAAGTGAAATGGAGATTAAACATAATATTTTTAAAAGCATGTTTTCGTTTTTGATAATGAAGTTAAAAAACTTAAAGCAAATATTTGGGTTTTAAAGTATAAAGTTTAAACTCAAGAGCATTTAGCGTAGCTTGCATTCAAATGATTAAACCTATATTCATATCTTGTTCGTATATCGTGTTTAAATGCAATGTTTCATTAACTTAGTAACCCTTTTAAGAGAGGAAAGCTGCTTAGGGCCCTTAAAAAGGAACAGTTCTAGATAATTGCTCAAATTAAATAATTACAGGTAATGATGGCATACTTTTTCCCATTTTCTCCCTTTTCTTTTGGCCCAGTTTCTCGGTTCCTTTGTCTTCCGAACCCACCATTATCCCTTTGTCTTTCTGGATACCCCAATTCGCTTGCTCATCTCTAACTGAATAATAACCCGTAGTGGGTCACAGTCTGTCCGGATTACCTGCTTAAGACTCATTGCGGTTGTGCGAAAGGGGGAAGAAAGCTGTGTAACCGCTTTAAATTTTTAATTTACGTGTGCAAGTGCAGCTGCAACCGGAATTCACTCCATTTGCCGGCTAAGACTCGAAGGTGTCCGGCCAACTGGATTCTAACGACTCATTGTGGCACTCAGCTGTTCAGTTTTTGCGGCTGCCAAATGGAAATTTCAAGCCTATTACATAAATGTTTAAATGGGCCAACGGCCAACCCGTTGGCCGGTCAAAAAGTGTCTACTTGGCCATTTCGCCCCGAACCCAATTGGGTTCCTTCACTTGAGTGAACATGAACGCAGCTGTACACACATTTGCCTCCAGGGAGCAACCCAGCATATAGAACTATATGGCATTAAGGCTGGACGTTGGCCATCTTAAAAACAAAAAACTGAAAAAAAGCGAACCGAATGGGGCCAGTTGAAAAGTGCAATTGGCAAACAGTTGAAACAGAAACAGGAAAGTTGCAAAGGGAACGAAGAGGAGACGTGGCCAGAAGGGCAAAGCCATGGAAAAGACGACTCTGGTAATTTGTTCTGAGCGGCTTTTGTTTTGTGCGCCATTTTCGTTTCATTTCGCTTTGGCCAACTTTTTGGAGGCGGCATCCTTCTTGGAGGCGGCATCCTTTCCCGCTGCCTTGACATCGGACGGACCTCTGATTGAGTGTGTTTTTGGCCGAGTGCGAGGGTGCCACAAACGTAGCTTTGCAACCTTTTCCCGCCGAGCTTTCCCTTTTCGATTGACCTTCTCTGACATCCTTCGCAATGCCCCGAAATTTATCACTTAATAAATTTCCCCTGCCCAGTTGACCCCTTTAACGTGTTCTATCTGCTTTCCCACGAATGGTAATTGGAACTGCTGAAATCGAAACTGAACAAATTGCCTGTTGAATAAACTATGGTCCAAAAGAATTGTCTAAGCCCTTGGGATTTACACGGATTCAAGTTATCGGTGTGACAATTGAAATTTTGTTATAAAAAAAGGGTATAAAGCTTCTCCATTTTTGTAGTGTAATATAATCATTAATATTTAAAAAATTTTGTATGTAATGTATTTTTTTTTATTTATACGTTAATATCATGTATTTTTAATTGTTCAATAATTCAGTCTAATCTGACATAGCACTCAATTCATTAGGTTTTTTACAAACAATTTTATTCAAACAAATGTATAATTTTTAATTTTACTAGCTTTCCAAACAGAATCATTTTATTTGTGTTTAGAATAAGTATAGGCTTAGGATTATTTAAATCTTGTGGAAATTTTAAACGTAATGGCCAGAAAACAAAGTTGGTTTTTCGGAAAATGTCTGTTGAGCCTGGTTTATGGGCCAAATCTCAGCAGATTTATGACGCATAAATTCGGCAAGTATTCAACAATTTCAATAAATTCGCCTTGATCTGCATAAATGCAGAGCATTTCCCGGGGCTTGGCTTTCTGCTAAATTGTATCAGTAAATGTCATAAATGGGAATCAAAGTGGCGGCCAAAATACGGAGCGCATATCAAAGGCGTATTAACGTTTTTTACGCACTCCACTTCGCTCCTTTCGCTTTCGAGTGACTTAAGAGGTCCTGCGAAGACAATCTCCTTGCTGGCTGGCAAATCCTTTCGTGCAGACATAAACGCTTCGAGGGGGCCAACAATTTATGTAAAAGACTTATGCATAAAACTGTGCATCATTGGAGTTGAAATGCTCGAGTCAGATTTGCGAGGCGATGCGGCGACATCATCAATACACTTCGGTGGCCATTAAGTGCGGCCAAATCTTTTCCTGAACCCAGAGCCCTGTCGCCAAACGTTGCGCATACGCCATGTGTGCCGTGAAGGGAAAGTTAAGCGCGGCTATTAGAACAAATTGAATAATATCGAGCTTCGACGCCATCCGATATTTTATGCATTTGTTTGTGACTTTCAAGTGCTCGCCACGCGCTCTCAACACTTTTCCCCATTTCGTATTTTATTTTTGCCAGTTGGCTTTATTTTTCTTACCTCTCCCTCCATAATTTTGGCTTTTATCAGCACACGCACAGACCTTGCCTAAATCTCGGCGATATATATTTTACATCATTATTGCTGCTCTCTCTGCCTTCCCCTCCTTTTGTTGTTGTTGCTGTTGCGGCTCTTGTTTATGTTTTGTAGCTCCTCTCGCGATTTTATGACTTTGCCAGGGAACACTACCCATTCCCCTCCAGAAAAAAAAACCTCCACAAAAGCCATTGAAACAGATTTCGCTGACTCTCACTTTGCCCAGCCCCGAGGCTCTTTTTTCCTACATCCCCACTCAATGAAATTCATTTTTCGATATGTTATTCCTGCCGGCTCTTCACGTGTGAGGCTTTGGTTTACCTTTACCGTTACCTCTGCCTCTACCTCTGCCTCTACCTCTGCCTCTACCTGAATCCGAATCTGAATCTGAGATGGCACCGCCCCACTTCTTTGCTCCCACCATCGAACATGCGACACTTTTAGCATCATTATCTGCACGACATCGGGGGCTCAAGCTCAAGCACTTTGAGTTATGCGACTGGCAGACGCTCAAAAAACATAAAAAACAAATAAATGGCAAGGAAAAGCGAAGTGTACACAATGACACACGGGCGTAGGCATTGAAGGGGAAAGGGGGCGGGTGGTGGAAAGATGCGATTAAAAGCCTTACACCCACACATTCCCACACGAAGACTGCTAAATAAGGTATTTTATTGCCCGAACTTCAAGTCGAAGATTTAGAAACTCGTGGGCGATGCCAAATTTAGCTCTGCGTTTCGATTTAAAGTTCTTTAAATGATTTGAAACGGGATTAAACTTTGGGTTCAATTTGGAAGTTTTAAGTGGTATTAAATAACATAAATCACTTTATTTGGTTTATTATAAATAGACACAATTCTTTGAAACTGATTAAATTAACAAAATTAATTTGTAAAATATTTAGCTTCTTCTTAAATAAATAAAGGTAGTTTAAACAGATTACCTTTTTTATTATCTAAAACATATTTAAAAAAAAGGAAAACTTATTTGTGAAATGTTGCGGTGCTTCCAAAATAAATAACATTTTACTATCAGGAATGTTTTTCTTGTTTTCTGCTTTCTTGGTTTTTGGTTTTCATAGCTGTGGAATCTTCCAAAATTATACATTAATTCAAGAGTAGTCAGAGGTGAGTTTGTCCCCAATTTATGACTGTTTACTACTGTGGGCGACTTTCTGTGTGCTGTGGGGCTCAAAGGATTCTTTGTCGGGGACACAAGTCAAATGCTCGTCGTTTGAGTTGGGTTTACGGCTGTGGTTAACAAACACCTTGTTGATGGGATTAATTTGCCTAAGTGCAGTCAACACGGAATGCAATGTGGGGCATTTGCACCCGGAGTCAAATAGAATCGACACCTTGGCCGGGCTATTTTTATGGGCCACGTTATGGGGGATGCGAATGTGCGCCTGTTGGCACATAAACATCCATCTATCAATTTGGTTCCGTGGGTGTGCTTAACACACCATTGAACTGTTACGCAACAGGAAGCCACACACAGATACGGATACACCCACACAGCGATACACAGATACGGGCGGCACCAATACATATGTCCGGCGGTTGGAGCCCAACAGACAAATCCCATTTGATGTTCACTCAGCAGAAAGGCAACGCCAATGAAGCATGCAAAAGGTATTTCAGCTTTTTCGTTGCCGGCCCCTCAGATTGCTGAGATTTTGGCTTTGTAACTCAAAATCGGGCGGTACACATGGACCGAATGTGCAAACATCATGAAAAACGCTGCCACAACAACGGGGGCAACGGAAAAAGCAGCAGCAGAAAAAGAAAAAGGGAAAGGCAAAGGAAAGCAAAAAGAAAAGCGTACCCGAGAAACAAAGGCCATCGGCAGATAAAGACGCTTACAAGCCGCAGCCAAGGCGAAAAAGGAAACTTTTCCTTTTTCCTCGCAAACGAGAGGAGCTCCGCATTTTATTGAACTTTAATTCATTTTGCAGCACATCCAGCCAAATGTGCAGAATAAATGCCTCGACTTAAGCGGGGATCGGTGCAAATGTGCTGGGGATGCAGCGCCACATATTCCCTTTGTCCACTGGGTCATAAAATGGCTTCCGGTTATACTTCAAGCGAGATTAACTTGTCGTTTACAATTTCCCTTTGATTTGTTTCCAGTGGTTGGGGAACGATAGCTAGCTTTCGGACTGAAGGGTGGGTCCAACTTCTATATATATATATATATATATATATATAGACTAGGGTTGCAGCACTTTCGCTTTCATCTCGTGACACTTCTGTGGTTCAAATGCAGTCTATCCGAATGCCCTACATTTAGGGGAAAAGGTATATTGTTTCCACATGTTCACTTCATTGTTTAATATATACATTTATGGTATGGTAATAATTTGAGAAGCAAATATAAATATATAATGTTATTTTCGGAACAATTACATCTATTATAGGCAATAATTAGATATTTTCCAGTCCAGCCCCAAAAAGTATGCTTGAAAATGATTGGTAAACTTTTTTTTTTGCAAATACTTTTCGAACAAATCGTAGGCCATCAGAGCAAATGGCTAGAGCACTCTTATTTTTCCGTCATTCAGATTGAAAAATGCCCATGTAATTGCGCATTGTTGTTGTGCCGGTCTGCTACAAATTGATTTACAACAATTCATTTTCGCCCGGGGCAACCGCTGTGAGACCCTCGAACCCCGAACCTCAATCCCCGAACCCCAAACCTACGAATCCCAAACCCAAACTGGCTGACCAGAACACTTGTGGGGTCCCCAGTCTCAGGTGTGAGTTTTATTTGTTTGAAAATTGTTTTCTCCGCTTTGTTCCGAGTTCTTTTTTTTGTTTTCCTTGCCAGTTGCTTTGTTTCGAGTGAATGTGGAAAAAAAGATTGGGCGAAAGGAGAAAAGAGAAGCCGCACGCAGCTCGGCTGTGTTTTCCTTGTGGCCTGGCGGTAATTTCATTTCGTCCTGGCTGCGGTTCTTTGGAAGTGCACTCAGCTTTCGCTTTCACCTTTCGGCCAAATACAAGACCAAAACCAAATCTGGCCCAGTTCGCGGCTGCTATGCAATTAAGCCACGCAATCAGAATGCAAGATGAAGGCTCTGCAAACAATTGAATTCGGCCGCGAAAAGGGACAGTCAGTGATGGTAAAGTATACTATATAAAAGGTAAAACCATTTATAAAATAAAATGTTAAGCAAATACAGAAACTGCTATCCAACTTGTTTAAATAAGTAACTTGCATAATGTGTATTCAAACCAAATAAAAGTTTATACAACTATTTAAACCAAAATGTAATCTAAATATGGCTAAATGATATACAAATATACCTAAAGCGAACTAACCAGGATTTACCATCACTGAAAACAGGATGCAGGAGCCAACAGAAGCGTTCAGTTGTGAGGTGGCCCAAATGCTGGCAAAATGGCGGCCACAAGCTGCAAAGCCAACATGGCAGCTGACATCTGTCAGATGCTGTTATTCCGCTGCACTCTTAGTTGGCTTTAGGCTGCAGTTGGGCATCCGAGCTCCCTATTCCGGCCGGACTTTGTTTGCCCAGCCTGGCTGGGCACTCACAATGGCTCACCCGGAGCAAAATGGGTGCCACTAACGAGCAGCTCCATGTGGCGACGTCGATCGCGGGAATTAGGTCCTGAAGTGAACTGTTTTTGGGAAAACAGAATGGACCCACTGGTTTCCACAGATTTTTGTTCTTTTCCCGACTTGGCTGACCAAAACAACAGCTTTAAAACGTTGCGATTTTCAGATTTAGCAAAGTACTAAAATCGAAATGAACAGTCAAAAGTAGGGAAGATAAAAAAGTTGAGGTGTGTCAATTAAAATAATTGTAATTTTACGCTTAAACCACCAAATCGTTATGCTTTTTGGTTCCACCTTCATATATTTTTTACAACACAAACTTCACTCTGAAAACATTCTCGATATGAAGAGACAGATAATTGTATTTGGTAAGCAAGAAGGTAATCAATCGATTCAATTAAACACCAAATTGAAGTTAATTAGTTTTAGTGCCTTTGCTTATTTTGCCGGACATCACACATCCGCTGGAGGGCCCGGATGACTTCGAAATCCCTGAGGAAGTGACTACACTGCATGAAAATTTGGGTCCTGTTCTGCCCAGACGCATTGCAGGAAGGACTCGAGAAACCCGAGTTGTGACTGCTGATGAAAATAACGCCACGGGCAAAATGATTGAGAACTACTGCTGTTTCTGGATCTACCAAGCACATCCACCAATTCCCCATACTTGGAAACATATGGCCGTATATCCCTTCGATTTTCAGTTCAACGGACAGTTTGTCAAAAATCGACGCCACAATGAAACTGAAGTGCCTCCACCCGAAAAGCAAATTTAAAGTTTGTTTTTATTATTTATTTTTAAAAAATTAATATTATTACGTTGTTGTGAGAACGATTTAAATTTTTCACAGAAGAGAAATGAAATAAACATGAAACATATTTATGCATTTTATCAAAAAAGCATTAAATATTTTTCTAAGTATCTGATTTACTTGATAATTTCTTAAAATTGTCACGCCAATAAAGTCTCAATAAATTAGAGACAAAGGTTTTAACACCTGTGAGCAAAACCATTTTAAACCATATTGAAATTAAATTGAGAATCGGGCAAATTCCGGTATGGGATGAAACCGACATGTAATTCGAGCTGCAGGAGTTCGACTGTGCTGACAATCGATTGTGTGCACTGTGGCGATGCATTTAATTGGGCCTGCGGCACTCGACAGCTTAGCTGAGGCCCAGAATTATAATTAACTTTGTCTGGCCGGCAAAACCTGACGGGGCCAAAGTTGTCTCAAAAGTTGTGAGCTCCGTTCGCCGACCCCCGAAAATCATTAGGGGGAAGGGGAGGCGCTTTTTGTGCCTAAAAGCCTGACAGCACATAATGGATTTGACACATTATAATCAGGTTTGCATAGTGTCCTTCGCCCAGTCTGTCAGTCAGTCATTCAGTCACCGAGTCGACTCAACTCGAGTCGGTCCCCCGAGCACTCTTGCCAACTTGGCCGCTTTGACGTGCTCTGCTTATTTGGTCAGCAAGTTGTTGTAGTTGAACAAGTCTTACACAGCGGAATTCGATAATATAATTTCGAAAAAATTACCAAAAGTGTTCTTGCTTTAATTGTATGCCTACCCACCATTTAATTTCGTTGTTCTATTTGAAATTTAAATTTAAAATGCAAATTTACTTTTTAAAATTTTTGATTGAAATCAAATCTATAGCGTAATAAATTAAAATTTTTATTTAAAATATTATATTTTACAAAACTTTCTAAATAACAAAAATAAATATTTAATAAAAAATGTTTTTTTTTTTTTTTTTTTGGTAGGGGAAAGTGGGGAATCTTGGGCCATGGGGAAACGTGAGCCACCGCCACCTTTCGGCAGTATTTTGAGATAAATAGTGAAATGCACCTGTCATCGTTTTCTTTTAACCTGAAATCATTTTTACATTGGTTGTTGACAAACGCACGCGTTTTATTCGCTTTGCACAATACTTGCCCAAAAAAAGTATCGGCAACACTTTTTTTGTGTGTTTTATTTCCATCATTTTTGGACGAAAGGCTACGACAAAACACAGGTAAATATGTTTCACATTATCGTTAGACCTTTCCTTTTCAACATACAAAAGTAATTTTGCATGACACTTAAACAAGTCAATTACACGCCGTTATTTTGCAAAAAGTAGCTTGTGGGGAATCGTGAGCCACTTTTGGTGGGGAATCGTGGGCCACCCGTGTTTTTAAATTTTTTGTTATCAATCACATTGGTATGTTGTGTTTATGATGTTTGTTGACTTCTGCATACTTTGTTTGGAGTCAATGCCAAAGAAATTGACCAAGAACAATTCAGTTGCATGCATGGAATGTGGTCGAGATGTCCATGCAAAATGTGCTACCTCCGCCAACACATTTACGTGCCCAAATTGCGTATCAGATTGATTGTGCATAATCCTTCTCCATTTTCTCGATTAAAATAACTGTACTTGTCATTTCTACTAATTGAATAAAGTTTTGCATCATAATTGTTTGATTTTCATTCAAATACGGGGGTGGCCCACGATTCCCCACCATTTTTGAAAATCGCCAAAACACCATTTTTTTTAAAGCCACGAAAAGTCGGAAAAAACAAAAGAATTGTAAGAAAGTGTAATAGTCAAAAGTTACCTAATTTAATGTAGAATAACATACCATATTACAATTTTGGGAAAAAAATTTTATTTGTTAAGATATTTAACAAAATATAAACGTGGCCCACGATTCCCCACCTTCCCCTATGTAATTTGACTTTTTTGGACTTATCCTGAGACAACTTATGGGATTTTCACAGACAAAAAGTACAGTTTTTCTCCCTGTGCAGTAGTTGCCCATCATCGTCCTGCTGAGAAGTTTGATAAATAAGCAGACCGGGCCCATGTCTGGGCATTTACTTAGTTAATTAAATTCAACTTCTTCGGTCGAGGGAAATGACAGCGGAGAAAGGAGAGCACTGAGGAGCAGGCGAAAGAGCGAGCAAGTGAATCGCTGCAGGGCGAGCAGGTAGTGGCGCCCAAGTTCACCATCCTTCCTGGGAAAAGTTGGCCAGGCGTATTTGTTCATATCATAGGTAAATATATCCTGGTCGGCAGCCCCGATGTTTGCTTTTAATTTCGCCATTTTCTTTTGCCTTTGGTTTTTAATGTGTCCGGGTGATTAGAGCATCTGCATCCTGACCAATCCTGACCAGGGCTATTTGCATGATTCACATGGCTTGGCCTCGGCAATTTCCTGCTCCAATGACTAATGAAAATGGTGAAAAGATTTAGATTTACCGCACTGGGAGACAAGCACACACAAAAGGCGCTTTCCTTTTGCCTTCTTGGGGGATCTTATCGCCGGCTCCTCCCAAAATAAATTGCTCTTCGTGGGTGGGGCAAACTTATGCAAGCAAATAATGTCGATTTAAATCGATTTAAAATGGAAAACGAATGAACGCTCGCATTGCACAAGAGTTTTATGCAAATGCACACATGGATTATTTGCGCAAGGAAAATATTAAAGAAGAGAATACGTAAATACAGGAGTAGGTTGCATTAAATATTGGTTTTCTGATTATATGTTAAAAGTGTGGTCATAAAATTTAGCTTGGAATTTATTTCCATGCGCAAATACATAGGAATAACAAAAGCAGTACTATTTTTAACTTTTATAGGTAGCCAACCAGTAACATTAAAACTGGAATATGCATTTAAATAAGATAACTAAATGAGCGGTTGGTGTGTTTGCTTGAAACAAAAGTGATCGATACATTGTCATCGCTTGGTGTCTTTGCTAAAAAGGTTTGAGTTTGTGCTAAACCGATAACCGATCGCTCAGCTGGAGCAATCAGCTGATTAAGTTCGCGCGCTTTTCATCCAAACATCATTGTGAAATTTTGTTTTGTTTATGTCGCCAATTTTATAAATAGTTTAAAAAGTTCTGATAAGAAGTGATTAGTGTACTTTAAAATGTCTATTCTGCTGGCGGACATTGATGCCACATGCGCGGCCTTGGGCTACAGTGATGGCCAAAAATACCAGGCGGAACCCGATGCCGCCGAAAGTCTTAAGGTACACATTTCGTTTATTTATTCAACAAGCTACTTTAAACCTAACATAATACTGGTATTCCAGCACTTGATTTGGATTCTCCGTCGTGATCTGGACAACCATGAGTATCGCCGCCATTTGGGGCGATCAAAAGTGCTCCAAACAGATTTGGTTTACATGCTGCCGGATTATGTGCACCATGAGGAACTATCTGACCTGTTGATTCGCCTGCTGGTTATCCTGACCAATCCCACCCTGCTGCTTTACAGGGACGGCCCTCCCAAGGACAACCACGGCAGGAAGGTGTTCATGGAGCTCATCGACATCCTTCAGGGCTACAAAGCAGCCTTTGCCCGTGACAAAATCTGGACATCACTGTTCGAGAAGCTCAAGCAGGCGTTGGAAATTGTAAGTTTACAGTAGGATATATAAAAAAATCCCACCTCAGTCTGTGACTAGAAATTAAGAACAAAATGGCACAAGTTCATACCGTTTGCGTGGCAGACAAATCGAATCAAAAGGATGATAGCAGCGAAGAAAGTGGCGACGAAGACAAGGATCAGTCCAACTACTTCACCTGCTTGGTGTGCATGCTCACTGCCCGCACTCCGAGGGTAAGCTTCTGTGGCCACCTCTTCTGCGCCAAGTGCATTCGTAACTGGATCCGAACTAAGGGATCGCGGGCCAAGTGTCCCTATTGCCAATCGCGGATCGGGGAGAACACCCTCATCACCATAAGTCAATCGCGCAACCAGGAGCGCAAGAATTCTTGCAAGAGCCTTGAGGATCATCGTCGCAGAATGCTCAAGAGTAGCGATTGTGTGCGGGAGTTGGCCATCTTGCCCGAGGCGGGCATGTTTTTGCGCGGCTTCATCGATTACCCGCCGGAACCAATGCCCAGGATTAAACCTCTGCCGCCCCAGATGCTCCGCCAGATGTCCCGGCGTTCCGTGCGACGCACCTACATGGACCACTCGCTCCACCAGCGGGCCATGACCTTTGTTATTCTGCTGTTCCTATTCGCCATGTACCAAAGTGGCTTCTAGCTGGCTGATGAGCTTTGTATGTTTTTTATACCGCTGTGGACGTCATCTAAATTCAAGATTCGTTTAACGATGATTTCGTGCTTTGCTGTTTTATCAAATGATTTTGAATAGAGACTTTATACACCGTCGGCTTCAGATTAGTGACTAATTGGCCTTCACTAGGGTGGATCACTAAATATATGTTGTTACAAGCCACCAGATGCAGGTCCAAATCTGAAAGCCAAAACATTTTAATGCCTGTTATTAAATATTATAATATTTTTCGTTATATCATAATTTTCAACATTTTTTTTTAAAAGCTATTGAGCTTTGCCTTTTTGGTCTTTATATGTTTAAAGAAACAAGTTATTTAAGGGGATTTATTTTCTTCTCAAACTAACGTTTATAACTCATTGGAATTATCATTAGCTTATTTTCTATCCCATTCCATTTTTATTCCCACCTCATAAATTGAACCACCCTGGTGGGTTGGGCTCCTGTTCTAAAGCCCAGGCAATTATCGTTGGGGCATTTGCGTAACTATTCCTGTAATCTTTATAATCTATGTATTAATGGGCAACCGGGTACGCAAAACTTTTAATGGCCCTTGCAGCTGCCAGAAGTCAAGTTTTCGTTGGGAGGGAAAATGCTTTTCACATTGCTCAACCCCGCTTCAAGTTTGTTTTGGCCAGTTTGGCTTTATGACTGAGCCCGTCTCCTTTGTGGGTTCATAACTAATTTGAACTTCATATCTACTCGCTTTTATCTTCTTTATTTGTTCGCTGCACCCTTTTTTCTTTTATTCCCCCACAAGTTGAGTTGCTAAAGTGTAGTCCTCTTCCTTTGACTTCGCCCAATTCAAGAGATGGAATTTAATTTAAAATATCTCACAATATAAAATCAAGTCTCTAAAGAGTTTTGTTCACTTGCTCGACACTCAGCGCGGGATAAAGCTGCAATAAGTCAATTTAATAAACACCCACGAACAGTTGGTGGTTGGGGAGGTTTTACTGTGGTTCGACTGACGACAAGGCACCTTCAAATCAAACGCGTCACAGTTTAGGCCCAGGAATTTCATTCTGGCCTAGACGAATCCACAGAGTCGTGTCGGCAACATGCTGCAAAAAAGCTGTAACAAACCGAATTGAATTGAATTGAACCAACATCGGTGGGTCGAGACATTGTTGAAACCACAAACGCAAAAACCCCGCAACAATCATTGTCGATCGATGGGAGTGGGAGTGTGTGTAGGCAGCAGTCTGCCTGTTTTCAAATGTTTTCAATTGCTAGTTGCTAGATTAAAGAACACAATTTGTTCATCAAGGCACAAATACAAAATACTCTTTTCAGGTGACATACGATTGCACTAGTAAATTGAATACGCAAATACGCATAAATATTTAAACTTTTAGATGAAATCAATTACTTGTTTGTCGAAAAATTAATCTTGTTGGTGTTCTTATTTCCAAGATAAATTTATATTTAAATAAAAGTTGTATCTCTGATTTTGGTTTCAATTATAACATTTACTAGTAAAAGTAAAAAGATTTAAAATGTCGATTTACATACACAATTTGAAGAAAAATAAATAAATGCAAGGGTATAAAGGAACAGAGATAGATATTTGTCCCAGCGGCATTGAATTAGAACGGATGGTTAGAAAATCCCAAAATAAGCTGCGGGCACCCAACAAATTTCAAATAAAAAGAGAGAGTCTCTTGATTTTTGTGTGCAATTTATGGATGAGCTTCGGGTCGATTGCCATAAATTTGTAATTGAAAATTTACGTTGAACGGCAAAGTTGTTTGTTAGTTTAGGCTTCGACTATTTTCGAAAGACCAATTCGAATCTAGTTGGTGCTAGATGTTCCCAGCAATTATCATAAGTTAAGTCCTGGTAACTGGAAAGTAAGAACGTAAATCCCAAAGATGAGAGAGCGAGCCCATTTGCCAAAGTTCCTAGTCCCCGCAACCCATCGTCTAACACAAGGAAATAAATTCATTTAAAGCCGATTGAATCGACATTCATAACACTCCGGGGAGCAATTCCAAAGGATTTTCATGGCGCTGCGTTGCCAAAGAGTCGCCCGAGGATTTCTTTACATTTCCATTTTTTAGGGAGCGCTTTTCCTTTTATTTGTGCCGCTTTCCTCGGTTTTCCTCGCTTTTTCTGTTTTTTGTTAGGTTAAATGCAGGCGAATTTCTATATGGTCGCTGTCTATTTGTTCTTGTTGCTGTGTGGCTGTTGTCGTTGATAATGAATGTGCACGAGGATTTTTCCGCTGTTGCCTCCAGCGGATCTGCCCTCCTCCTTGTTAATGCACGCAAAAATAAACAATCTCCCATCTATGGTTGTGAATTATTTATTTGCTTAACTTTTTGGAAAACTTGATTATTTTTAGTCGTATATTAGGACTACATACATACATAGGTGATTTAAAATTTGTATTCTCGTGATTTATTTTTTGTGAATTAAACAAGATTTTTAATTACTGATTTACAAAAATGGACGCAAAAGATGTTTATGAAAGCATTTTACATTTTTTATCAGCAAATGTGTAATTAAAAAATTAACTTAAAAGAAAGAGAACAATATTCAATATTCACAATATTTGCTTCAAATTGTTTGACATTGATTCTGTAATTCTTGTGTTATCTTACTTAATTTCTGTAATTAGTGGCTCAGATTTTCTTGAGTGTATTGTTGCTGCTGACTTTTTATGGTTTACTTCTGTATTCGCGTCGCGCCGACTTACACGCTTTGATGTATGCGCGGCGAGCAGCCAAGTGGACAGGCTGGAGAGGGAGAACCTCCTGCCTTCTGCCCTTCGCTCCCCTTTCCAACTTTCTCCGAAGGAAAGCTTTCAGTTTTGAATGAGCCGCCAGCCCCTGGCCCTCGGTGTTGTTGTTTTGGTTTTCTGGTTGTTGCTGTTGTTGTTGTTGCGTAGGGAAACCAAAAACGGAAGTCATTATTAACTTTGCCTTTGAGATGGGCTCTCGGGGTCCTGAGGTCTGGTGGCCGGGGCTCCTGGCACATGGGTGGCCATGGGTGTGCATGGGTGTCCATGTCCGGGCGGAGGAGTCACAGCTGGCTTGTAGGCACAAAAGCCGCATTAGTTGTATTTATTTTTAAGCTCACAGCAGCAACTGTAATGTCCTGCTGCGCCCATGGAACCCTAACCAACGCACACCATCCATTCCATCTACAACTACCCACATTTTTTGCCACCCCATGGCCACCCAGGCACTTCCCCTTGACACCCACACCCACACACCCTGCCCAAATTGATTTCAACTTGACTTTGTTGTGGTCCCATCGCTTGTCTTGGTCTTGAGTCGGGGCTTCCGTTTTACAGTCGAGCTACATAAATTTGCAATTTAATTTAATTTAATTTCATTTGATTATTTTAACTTGACTCGCGGGATTTGCCGCTTACATTTTTATGCCCTTGCTGAGGATATTATAATTTCAGTCAGAGGTTTGTAACGCTGTGAAGGAGATACCTCAGACTCCATAAAGTATTTAGTTTCTTGATCAAGAATTACATCTGAATAGTACCACCATCTACAAATGCAAGTTAATAGAAATATGGTAATAGCTATGATGTTGTATAGCCTATATAGAATATATACTGGAAGGGTGTAAAGGTTTCGGCTCATCCAAGCCAGCTTCCTTTCTTCGTAAACTGGGATTTGCTGCAGCATTTTATTACACTGACTTCTGATGGGATTCTTTCATCCTTCCTTTAGGCCTTTGCCATTCGCAGCGAGGAGCAGAATCTGCTGATTGAACGCATCCTGGTCCTGGTGCGGAATGTCCTGCAGGTGCCAGCGAATCCGGAGGCCGAGTGCCGGGCGGACAACGATGCCAGCCTGCATGATCAGGTCATCTGGGCCTTGCACCAAACCGGAATGCTGGATCTGGTGCTTTTTATCATCTCCTCGCCGGATGAGGAGCAGTTTCATCTGCACGGACTGGAGATTGTGTGCCTGCTTTTCAGGGAACAGGTTGGTGCTTCACAATTAAATAGGTTAAAAATAACACTAAAACATATTAATATTCCAGAGTGCCGAATCCCTGGCAGATGCCTCCCTGCAGCGCAGTCTCAGCGAGAAGCAGCGCGATCAGCAGGAACTGCTGGCAGCTCGTCGCCGGGAGCGTGCCCGCCGCCAGGCTCGTCCTCCAACGGGTCGTCATTCCCGCTTCGGCGGCACATACGTCATCCGGAACATGAAGTCCGTCTCGGACCGCGACGTGATCTGCCACCAGGCATTGGAGCGGGTCTCATCGATCGACTTTGACCGCGAGAAGCAGCAGCAGAAGCGTTCCCATCGACAAATTGCTGAGGAGGCGCAGGTGACCCGCCGCAGTGCGTTCACCGTGAGGTGAGTATCGGGTCACTATCGCCATTGCCATCGGCATGGGCATGGGCATTCACAGCAGCTATATCCATTTGTCTGCGGCCACTTGCACTTTGGCTGTGGGCCGTGCCTATTGTGGGGCTGCTGGTGTGGCCATTAGCATCGGAATTGTTATGGCCACCAACCACCGACTGCGGGGCCACATCCCGGCCATTGATTTTCGATTTTACGCTGCCAGGACAGCCGTATCCGAGGGATTCGACCGGAGCGAGTGAGCTGGCTGGCAGGCAGGCAAGCAGGCAAGCAAGCAAGCGAGCGAGCGAGCGTATAAAATAATATTCAATAATAAATGAAGCCATTTCCTTTTGGCCCTTTCACTCCGCCCTGCACTTCCCTCTCCTGTCCGTTGGTCCTCCGAACTGCCTGTAATTCCTGCTGTTTTATAGAATCGCACAAACGATATTGGCTGCTAGGGGCTCTCAGGCGCTCTCAGGGTTCCGCATGAGTTGGCCCGGCTAAACAATATCTCGGCGCCGAGCGCCTCTGTCGCCGTTCCCCCTAATGGCCACCAGGTGCAGCTATTTTATGCTCCTCTGCTAACCAACAAACTACTTAAAGGATCTGCCCCGCGCCCTTTTCCGCAGAACAACCTGCCCGGGATTCCGCCATCCGCTATCCGGATCCTCTTGAACAGTTACAGTAAATGCATTCGCCGCGGTCTTGGTTTTCCTTTTGATAACCCAAAGATATACACTAAGTAGTGCAGAATGCATTATACTATTTTCTTAACAATTTCGGGTTTTAAATATAAATAAATGTATATGGCATAGGTGCCCTCTTTGGGTTCACTTAAATATAAAAGAGTTCTAACGCTTATTTAAAACTTTATTTTTACTTATTGGGCAATTGTTTCCGTAGTAACAAAAAGTAGGTTTTAAAATGCTTAGAATGCATGAGGAATTTAAGAGATACACATTTAGATTTTTTATTGTGATCATTAAATGTTGCATTATCTTTTTGAGTCTAGTAATATCTACGAATCCTTAAAAAGTTTTTTAATATTTATCCACTCCTTAGAGCATCGGTAATTCACCCTTAAAAAACCCGAACTTCTTCTCAATTTGTGGCTGGTGGCATAAAAACCCGTGCAGAGATAAAACTGCAGCAGGAACTTGGCGGCGCCATCGGCATCGGCATTTCCAGCATCGGCATCGACTTTGGGATCTCTGGCCGGCAAGGCATGCAATTTTCAAGTAAAATCCTCAAAAGGTTTTTGCCATTTGCCGCTGCGATTTCGTAGCGGCGCTGGCAACATTTTTGCTTGTTAGTCGGCCAGTTCTGCGTCTGGTTTATGGGCCAAGATGCTTAGCCCGGTGCGGTTGGCCAAATCTTTAGGCGCCCATAAATTGATGGGGCAGAACAAATGCGACCAGGGTGACCCCACAGCCTGTGATTAGACAACTCCGAATGTCCTGAATGTCCCATCTGACCGACCGCAAACGAATGGATGGCCAAGTCCGAGGACCACGTAGCCACGTAGGCACGTAGGCGGTAAAGGCGAAAGTTCATCAATGTCACGTGTCGGAGCACCGTGCCCCCAACAATTTGTTAGCCGACCGCAAGTGCATGTTGCAATAAGCCGCCAAAGGGGGGCATGCCAATTTTTTCTGTTTCGCCTCCTTTTTGGCATAAATTAATCCGCATCGGCATCGATGCGTTGGATTTGTGTTTCGCCTGCTGGCAGAGATTGCTCTCCGCTCGAAGGAATTGTGGATTTGGGGGATGGGGGATGGGAGGTTTTGGGAGTGGATGGTTGGCTGCATCTTTTAGCCAGCTTTGCACAAATAAATTGGCCAGGCGAAATTTATTGCATCAGCGCTGCCAAATGCCGTTGCAGCGTCCGCATTTGTTATATAAACTGATAGAGGGCGTTCGCTTTCAATCAATATTATTGTGGTATAACCATTTTTCATGTCTGCCTTCTTCCTCCCGCCACCCGCCTCCAGCCTTTTAGCTTTTGGATTCTCTCACATTTTTTGTTCGTACTTTTCTCTGGCTCTTGCAGATTGTGCCTGCGCGAATATTGCATCGAGGTGCTGCGCTCCGCTTACAACACGCTGGTGAGGCAGGTGCGTCGAGTCCTGGAACGCAACGCCGGATCCTCCAGTCACGATGACTCCTATCTATTGTGGGCCATACGATTTTTCATGGAGTTCAATCGTTTGAGTGGTCTACAATTGCAGTTAGTCAGGTGAGTGCCATTCAAGTGGTTTTTGCCACAGAGCTGTGTTACTTTTAAGATGGATATAACTGGAATTAAATTATTTTCAAGAATATTCTATATTAGTTTTAGCTTCTTGGATAAAGTTAAGTAGGTTGTTTAAATTTATATAGTAAAAAATTTCTTTAAAAAGGAAAGAAAACTGCGACATTTTAGTATGTACATATTAATATACAATTTATTAAACCTGAAATTAAAATTCTCTAAAGCTGTAAGTTAGTTTGCCATCTCTGACATATGATTTTTGTTTGCTCCTATCGTTGCGGAAAAGATTTCCAGGAAGAGCATGACTTGCCCCAGATATGCGATGTTTCAGCTTAAAGTGTTCAAATTAATTGCCTACAAGTTTCAAAGGAGATCATTCCGAGTTTCCACAAGTGATATGATGATGCTGTTGATGAACAAGCTTGGCTTTCAGTGGCTAATGAAACGCTGACCTCGTCGACTGGCCAAGTCAGCAGATATGCAAATCCCCGGCGCACAAGCTACTCTTTCGAACCGCCTCCATCAAGGCTTTTAATCAAATTACTTTGCAGCACTCTCAAATGATGGGAATTCAGCAGAACTTTTATTTTCGTGGCGCTCACACTTTTGAACATTTACGCTCAAAGAAGCCGAATAATAATGGTGTTGAAATTTCAAACGCAGTTGCTTTTAACATGCATGAAGTATTTTTTGGGAAATTTAACACCAAATAACGCGTAGAAGCAACAAGTGCTTAAAGTGGATATCTATTTGTATAACATATTATATATTTTATTAGTATAATATAAATCTGAATTCACGTAACTTTCAACTTTAATAATGATTTCCTTAAATTGTTTTCGCCAGCAAATAAGATTTGAGTTCTTATTTGGTATCTGTCGAAAGGGCAATCGATCATCTTAGCTGTAGAAGCGGGGAAAATAGGGATATTTTTCATGGTTTCCATTTGCTGCTTTTCTCTTCCTTTTTTTAACGAAAGAGGAAAGTGCGAGCAAATAAACTTTAGTATGATGGCAATTTCCATTGACAGTCGCACTTCTGCCCTTAGCACTTGCCCTAAAAATGGTCAAGCGTAAAGCGTTTCTTGCCCTTAAAATTTTCCAAGACCTTTCCCACTGCGGTCAAAACACAATTTGTGTGTCATTGTTCGGTTGTCCCGACATCAGCGCTTCGTCACTCGAGTTTTATTGTATTACTTTTTGTCAGTGGATAACAAACACATGCACAAATCAAAGTCATGACGCCAATTGTTAACCCACGGCACTTGGCCATATTCAACTTGGGAGTGCGCAACATAGCTGATAATATTCTTGGCCAAAGTTGTCAAAGTAACCCTACCGAAATCGGGGCTTTGTGACACAGGGAAAACTTTTTTTGGAAACTAAAAATTTTTATACAAAAAAAAAAAAAAAAATGTAGAAAAGAATGTACAAAAAAATAAATATCAATTATCATCCACATATAATAATAATACAAGTATTTACTAGATTTCGTTTTCAGTTTTCTTATTTAAATGTTAAACATTTTATTTAATTAAAAATTCTATAGACAAGTGTATATATTGTCGCTGGTCGGTATTTCCGCTTTGCTTTTGCTGCTGTTGTTGTTTTCATTCTTGTCCAGCACGCTGTTAATAAAATTTTGCGTTCTTTATGTTGTCATCCGGCTGACGTTGCTGCTTCTCCGGATCCGGCTCCCTTTAGCTCTCTTCCCGTGGCTGTGTGGTGGGAAATTTCTTTAAAATTGTTTTGGTTACTTTCAAATTAGTTTCTGAATGACAACAATGAAGCTTTGCAAAAATGTTGTCATTCCGTTGGCGCAAAGTTTTCCCAGACCCCGGTTTTTCCCCTTTTCCCGCTCGCTGGCGAACTCCCTCGCACTATTCTAAGTTTTCTGCAGCTCCTGCTCCTGTTTTTCATTTTCAGCAATGTCCCTCTGCCTTTTATCAGACTTTTTATTCTCATTTTGCCTGCGTATTCTCGTATATACACAGTACGCATCTATGTGTATATACTCGCCGACCATAAAACTTTCTGTTTATTTCCTCAAATGCAATTTGACGCTGGCCCCACACCGCCCCGAACTTTCTTTATCGTCTGCCATTTTCTACTGATTTTGCACTATATAAAGCATGGCATTGCTGTAATGTATGGGCTTTCAGATGGGCAAACTTTTCCGACCAGCAACCCGAAAAAAAAGTGAAATTGAGTTTGTCATTTTGTTTATGCGAGTACACGTACAAAGCATTGATACCGAAATCAATCGCTGAAGTCTGGGAATGATCAGGTTTTTGAGAGAATACAAGGTGCACTTACTTATACGGCACATATTGAATTGATGAAATCAATGGGTGCTCAGAAAAACTATAAAAACTATCTGATATTGGCTCTTTAGAAACTTTTTCGTTTGGAAAATCTGTAAAAAGAAAGCCACTTTCATTTCAGCTTAAATAAAATCAGGGTTCCAAATACAACGAAAACAACACAATATAAAAATTAGTTTTTGTTTTTTTATTTTTCTAAAGAGACCTAGTTTAAAATTTAATTTTGTTAGTAAACTAACAATGTTTGTTTTACCTTTTCTCTCATATAACTAACTTCTTTTTGCTCAAGTGCACTCATTTAAAATCTCAATTAGTTCTTTGCTTTTTGCAATTTCCCGATAAAAGTTTCAGCATCAATCAAAGCTAGTTCCGCTGGCTTCCCCTTGCCACATTATCGTGCTGGCGCTGCTCATTGCACTTTTATTGATTTTATAATTTATTTATTTAGGTTCTTGTTGCTGCTGCTGTTGCTGCACATCTGTAATTAATTTGTTTTTAATGCCTCTTCAAATGCTCTCGACGTTGTCGCAAAACTTTAATGGTGGTCGCAGCAGACGTTGCTCTGCTAATTTTGCCCAAGTTGCAGGCAAATGCTGCAGCCACCGGAAGTGGGTGGCCGCAGGTGGAATGGTTTGCGGCAGCCGGGAAACGTGTGGCATGTCAACGCCCACTGGTCCCCGCGTCCTTGAAGACTAAGGGGGCAAGTGCAACTTAGGCTGGCTGGCGCTCAATTCTAGCGCTACTTAAAAATTAATTTTGTTAATGAGTTTTTCGCTGTGCGGGTTGCAAGTGGCAGGCGGCAGGTGGCAAGCTGCTTACCTGTTTTGCTCCTTCTGGTTCTTCTTCTTCCTGGCAACTTTGGCCAACTTTAATGCAGAAATCTTCTACTTAAATATGCACTCAAACACAACCATTCACACCACACATGATGCTCTGTACACTCATAATAAAACATGTGGTAAAATAAAGTGCGGTGAAAAGTAATTAAAACATAATTTAATTTGTGGGACAATCAAAATTTTAATTTGCTAACCATATTGTCTTTATGAAATGGGAAGCCGAATTAAAAATATGGCATTGTTGTAACCAATTGATTTTATTTATTAATCAATTTATTAATTAGTTTAATGGCTATCGAGAACAGATTAACTGGATATATTACACAATAGTTTTTAAGGTGCTAGATAAATTGTACTCTTTATTGTAAACATTATTTGTACTCTTTATTGTGTAACAAATACCTGATCTATTTATTATTTTGTATCCAAAATGATTGGATTTTGTTAAGTTCACTTTTATGGCACATGTGTTTTATTTATTTAAGTCTGACATTTTTTCGCACAATGCACCCGAGTTTAACGAAAATGTGTTGGCTTTTTTCCAATTCATTCGCAGCGAATCGCTGAGCGTGCAGTGCTTCCACTGGGTCCTGACGCGCATGCAACATGACATGGACATGATTGTGAGCGACAAGAAACAGGCGCGTCTCTGGGCCAAGCGACTGCATGTAGCCCTTTTGGTAAGTCACCCCGCACCAAAGTCGAGTTCCAGTTCCCGGGGCAGGAACTCCTCTCCCCACCAACTGTATGTTGGCCATCTAAGCCGAAAGCGAGTGTGTGTGTATGGGAGTGTGTGTTGGGGTCTGTTGTTGTTTGCCTTGGCACTGTAAGTGCACTTTTGGGCCACTCTGCTGCCGCTCAACGTTTGCCTTGGATTAAGCTTACTGCCTGGTTCCCAGTACTCCATACTCAGTACTCGGTACTCGGTACTCAAAGCAAGCTCCACGCATCCTTTAAGTCCGCCGGAATGATGGGGAAACTTGAAATGAACAGCGAGCTTTGCCGGGGATTAGCTAAAATGCCCGGCGCAAAAGGTTTCTTTGATCTTGAAAAAGATTTGAGCTGATTTCCCTAACCAATTTAGAGGATAACAAATATCGTTTCCAGAGAAATGTTAAATGGTTTGATATTCAAATGAATGGTATGTATATACAAATTGTATAAGTTAAATTTGTATACCTAATATTCAAATACTTAGCTCTGATCATCTTCATTACCATTTAACAGTCACGAATCAAGCTCAAAGCTCAATCAATCCTAATCCACTTCAAAGTCCAATCAATTCTGTTCACACCAAGGATAACTATTCTGGCCAAAAGCAAATTAGAGCGCATATAATTGCTCACATGTGTGTTGCCCCTTTCTAATAGCTAGATCCAAGGCTCATTACAATGCAACACACACACTCCCTCGTTCCAATCAAATGCTTGGGCGTCTACCAAGTTAATGCTTACCAATTTTTTAATTAAAGACATTCCGGGAATTGCTGCAAAGCCTGTTGGCACTGCAAAAGCTGAAGGATGACAACAACGCGCGGGCCCTCTTCGATATGTTATTGAACAACGTGTGCTACGTACTCGAGTATCGGGAGACAGTGCTGCATTTGTTAATGAACTACAATGAGGCGCACAGCACAAAGTGAGTACCCGAGCGAATAACCATTTCAGCTATGCACATACATTCCGATTGGAAATAACTTGCCCTTCCGGCCATGCTCAAACCCTCATCCCCATTTCCATTCGCCATTTCCCATTCCCCTTTCCCCATTCCCCGTTACCCGTTCCTCACTGAATTTGGAAACCATCCCGGCCTGGCTGCATTTCTGATAGATAACGGCCACGACCCCGTGGCATCCGCAAATAAGCAAGCCACACATCCTCTAATGGGATTACTACGAGCATTCGACGAAGCCCTGCTTGCTGGTCCCCACCAAAATATGCAGTGCAGGCTGTCGGGATATCGCCCTTTCTGCCTGGATCTCTCGCCCCGACAATCAGGCATTGTTTGTCTTGGCGGCATGCCTTTGTCTTGAGTCCTGGTCTGTTTGCTCGGCTATTTGCACAGATGTCTGCTGGGTCGCTAAGGCTCCCCATTAGTGCTGGCCAACTAGTGGGTTCCATATTACAATTTTTTTCGCTTTTACCTAAAACTTTACTTAAGTTGATAGGGTAGTCTTTTTAATTACTTCGCTATATATATATTATTTTATATTTTTGATGATTGCCTACGTGTAAACTTCTTCCTCACCTGATGGTGTAATCGAACATCCAATAATGCAACATGTATTACTTTAACATTTATGTTATCTAAAAAATACAAACAGTTTGTCAAATACATCAGACAAGTTATAGTATGTACTATTTACTTAATTTACTAAATAATTTGACTGTTTAGGCTAATAAATAGCTGCCAGCACTATCCCCAAAATGGAGTGGAGATATGCGTGTGTGTTCCCCCAAAAGCAGGAATCGCTAAATGAACTAGTTGCACATTCCTTGTGGAGCGTTAAAGGGAGTTGGCTAAAAGTTTAATTGATTTTGCAAGCATGTGCTGCACGCGTGTTCTGGCATAAAAATTATGCCATCTACCAGAAGCCAACCCATGTAGCTTCGATTTTCTTTTTTTGTTAGCTCAAATCGTGCACCTTGGCTGCATCCTAATTGGCGAGTTAAGGGCGCGTTCCCTGCACGGCACCTGAATCGAGATTATTTCGATCGAAGCGTGCGCCACACGGCGGGTACTTGATAAATCGCTGCAGTGCATTGAAAATAGTGCAGCTTCAACAGATTCAGCTGGGATTTTCATGATTTACACGCAGGTGTTGAGTGTTTTTAACTCATTACCTATATTTCACAGAGTTCATTTGCCGAAATGAGTTCATCGACACAAAAATTACCTCATATCGACCCACTTATTTACACCAATTGAATGGGGATCAATGAGTAATATCATGAGTTTTGCTTTTAAAATGTCTGTTCAAAATAAAAAAAGTATTGGAGCATACGCATGGCCCCTTTAAACGCCATTCCCTTGCAAAATCCATTCACTTAATTGCAATTTTTAGTGCCGAACGTGAAGAGTTAGACCCACTTGAATATTTCTAAATGGCTGCACAAATTCGCCTGTCAAACAGACTCGACTCTAGAGTGCTCTGTGTAGAGTGATACCTGCAATAAATGCCTGGAAATGTATTTCTGTGTCACAGACTCAAATAACAGTGCGAAAGATCTACAATGGGTCGACAAAGTTTGTAAGCTCTTCATTCTGTTTTTAATTAAATTATCTTACTTGTGGAAATAAAATCCTTTGTTAAAGACATTAAAAGTTAGAGAAAATATTCTCCTCTCCACCAAAGAAAGAAATAAAAATATTATTCAATGCATTCAACTATTGTATAAAAAACACAGAACACAATAACTGAACAATAAAGTGCAGAACTAAAAGCAAAAATGTCCGGAAGCATTTTAACATTTTTAATTCAGTTTAATTATTAACATGTTGCTTTGCATATTTTTGCAACATGCAGATGTTTTTATTTCCATTCACTTACGGTTTTTTATTTGATAAAAGTTTTAAGTATTGGCGTTTTAATTCTTGTTAAACATATATGTTTAAAACAGTGTAGTTGACCGCAAACATAATCTCTTAATCTCCCATCTGTTTTTATCGCCATTTTAATCAATTAAAACTGAGTGTTTCTTTAAAGAGCAAACGCCAACAAATGTCTAATAATAACTATTTGTTGTATATTGATTACAACTGACGTTTTTGTTTGAATTAACTAAAATAGTTCAAGTGGTTTAATGCAAGTCATTAACATTGTTTTGGCCTGCTTTAAGTGTTTTTAAATTGAATATAGAATTCCTGAAGTATCGTTACATTTGTTGAGCGTTCCACTGTACCAGTTGACACATAAACAGATAAACAAATTGTTGTGTGCCTGTTGGGCTTTACTGTCGACTATCAACGCAACGCATCGCATCAGCAGCCAGTTCGACGAGCTCTAGTTAGTCGGTCTGAGAGTCTGTTAGTTGGGGCACTGGCAATTTCAAAGCTTTGACTAAATTAATTTAGCGCGCAAACATGAAATTGACAGGGGTTCACAGGACGGGGATGGCTGGGTTCAGGAAACTCGTTGCGATGCCAGATACAAAACGCAGATACAGATATATTCGTTTGTCGCTGCAGATGTGGAATGTTCCCGGGGCAGCAACTGTGGCTTAATTGGAGCATGATTAATGCGGAGCCAACTGAAAATAGTTGGTTTATACAATTTAATCGATTCAACATTAAGTTACGCCATCAGCGAGTTAAACAGCTTTCAATTAGTTAGGCCATCGGCAATCATGTAAACGCTGCTGCCTTTTGAACTGCAATCACGGTTTTGAGTATCTGACAGATTAAAGATTTTTCGGCGTCAAAATGGATAATTTATGACCGCCGGAGGCTGTCCGTGCCACCTTTCGCCCTTCCTTAGATTAATGCCACCCATTTTGACGCCGATTTGATGCTCATGAATAGTGTTGCCAAGATTTTGTAAAGATGTTGACTAAAAATTAAACAAGCATATTACACCTTCGCATGAATAGAATAGCATTATAAGTTAAATAATTTATACAAAATTTAAAATGTATAGAAAAAGTGGCCAAAAAATGAGGAAACAAACAGTTGTATTTGCTCTAAAATAGTGTTGCATTTGGCTCAGAAAATTTTAAAAACGGAAAAAATATAAAATTGAATTATAAATCTTTCTATTGGTATTCTGCATAATGAATACCATTTTCGCTCTCAAGTGGGCCACACAAATCCTTTTAATGTCCAGAACGACAACTCTAGCGCCGAGCTGCAATCGACGCCCATCACTCATTGTTGTTGTAACTGTCATAATTAATAATATTTTCATTATAACGTCTTATGGCAACAAGAACAACGATAACTGCCCGCAAATATTCGGCCCGTCGGTCGGTGTCTGGGCGCAATTACATTTTATCATTTATTCAACATGCGCTCAAGCTCGGCGCGAAGACAATCCCCAACTCCTGGGGTCCCGATTCCGTAGCCCCTCCCAGCCGAAACCCCTGATTGTTGACCAACCCCAAAACACCCAAGTGTTCTAATTAATTCTGTATGCCCAACCTGCTGCTACTTGAACTTCTTCTCATTTTCCCCGGAATTGTGGCTGTTGGCGTCCATTTAATCAGCGTAAACGCGAATATCAAATCAGGCGCAACAACAAAAGCGAATGCTGCCAGAAGTTACAAAACCGCGTGCATACAAATTAATTATAAATAATTTATTAACGATTTATCTTTGTCCTGCTGCCAGGCTTCGCTGGTCACATGTGCTTGGGATTGAGTGTGTGTGCAGAGAAAATAAAGAGGATTTTGAACCCAGAATAGATGAATGGATGAATATGTGATAATATAAAGTGAAATAATTTTAAAAAGTAAAGGAAACGATTTATTATTGTATGGATACCACATTGCTCTTTTTAATTGACTGATTTTACGTTGAATTTTTATATACTCTTTTTAATTTTATTTTTACAGTACAAGGCTTTTAATAACCTTTTTTTGTTAGGAGAAAATTTTGAACAAGTGTTGTTTCTTTTATATTTCTCGTGATATCTAGATCCTAATTTCTAGCATTTAACCTCTGTGTAGAAGTGTAAATGAGAGTTGCAACAACGGGTGGGGTGATTCGATTTGCACCTGCGCATCATTTGGACGGGGTAGGTGGGCAATCGATTCGGATCCGCTTGTAAAATGGTTTGTGGAATGCAATATGTTGTGCAACTATCAAACCGCCCACCCGCTTATCCGCTGCGGTAACTTGGCGTTGTGGTCAGGTGCCACCAGCATCTGAACACCACCACAACCTCCTTCATCAGCCAAGAGCAGTGCTGAGTGGAAAGAAGCCAAAGGACTCGTTTTCAGATGCCATAAAGTACTGCACCAAATTGGCAAGGCACTAATTAAAACTGCATTTGTATCTGGTGCTTGTAGAGTCAAGGAAAAAAAAAGGTGGATACAAAATTTAATTTCAAAATAAATAATATTTAGGATACCAATTATATGAAAGCATTATTTCACAACAAAAAGGGTTTAATTGTAGAGTTTGATGAGAATAAAATCAAGCATGAAGTTAGCTTAAAATCATTCAGGTTAATTGAATTTTAAACTATATTGATATACCCATACTTAGTTTATTTGGCACCACTAGTTGACAGTGGAAGCCACCTTAGTCCGCGGCCACCAGCAGTTTTTGCACTTCGCCTGCTGTTAATGCTGCCACCACAGACATCTTTGCGGTGACATGGCCGCCAACGTAACTGCGCTTGATTCATTTCACATTTCAGTTATCATCAGGAGTGCACCACACAGCACCCGCAAACAGGACGAGAACTGATATGGGTATGTGGATGTGGAGGAGGGGGAGGGGGTGGCACACATGGCACCACTCAAATTTCGAATCCACGTGCACCCCACACTATTCCCCATTCTCCACAGGCGGTTGCGCCTTGCAGTCAACTAAGCCCTTTTATCATCAATTGCCACTGCCCTGGATTCCAACTCCTGTCAGTTGCGGTCACTGCTGACAATTCTTGATCAATACAAATGGACAAATATCTTCGAATTGGCCGGTTAATGCTAACTGGCTTCTATTCATTTGCCGCTTTGTGTGGCTTATCAATCTACGGCTTGTTTAGCCCCTTTTCAGACGTGTCTAATTTATTGGACATCTATTGGGTAGACTAATTCTGGTTGCCTTTTACCCACCACCTCTGATTTTGAATTACCAACTGTAGATTTTAATTGTACACACTTCTTAATAGTACATACTTTCTCTATCGATACGCACATTAGATTGTTATAAGGACAACCGAAACCTTTGGGAAATCCACTAATCAGTGTTGTCCATCAAAGTGCCATCAGTACATTGAATTTTCTGTGAGCACTGCAGAAACATGCGTTTGCTTTTTATTAGATGTTGTTTGGTCCACGCTTTTGAATTATTTGTCTGTTTAATTTGGCTAAATGTCTATGCAACTATGGCATCGATTCCTGTTGACCGGGGACCCGACTGCCGGACAACCACTTTCATTACAAATTCATTTCCCCGGTCGCCGGCTCCCATGGTCACCTCCACCTCTTCCTCGCCAGCTGCGTTCGCCAGCGTGTGGCACATTGACCGCATTCGCAAATGCCGCTGCAGGAAGCTCCTGCAGCGCAGCTCACGAGGGGCATTAAAATTCGCAATGAATTTGCATAAATTTTGGCGGCATCGCAGCGACCTTTTTGGCCTTTTCCCATTTTGGCCGCCAACGCAATGATGCCGGTTTTTATAGCCCTGGGACCCGGCAATTAGAGTGTTAAGCCATGGGCGACTTGAATATGGATTATAGTCACGTATGCTGGTGGAACTATTGGGAAATCATGTTTCCTTGGTTATAAAAGTGAATTTACTTTTGGTCAGGAATTTCAGAAACACAATCTTAAAGTAAATACATAAAAACATTATTGAATGTACGTATTATATCGTATGGAGATATAGACAACCTAATTGCTGAGATAATAAATTCCCCATTAATTTAAATAAATTCTCTAGGGATTATATTTGGTTATTCCTATGTTTACTTTACTTAGTCAGTAATGTGTGTTTTTGAGATAACTGAGACATATACAAATGAATATTTGATTTGACCTTTCAAAGCTTTCTTCCATATCTTTTTATCTCTATTTATTGGTTGCTATACTTAGAACCCCTTACGTACCGCCTACTTTGCATACTGGGCCTGTTTTGAATTGTCCTCTTCGGTGACTCGCGCGATTTTCATTATTCAAACGACAATCAATCATTTTAACAAATTGACGTGCACGATGACGTTGGCTTTTATTTTTCGGGTTCGGCGTGGCTAAAAACAAAGCGGAAGTTGGCTCTGCATAGCGGCAGCTGATTTTGGCAGTTTGGCGGCTGTCTTCTGCCTCGTTTTTTGTACTTTTTGTCGGTTGCCTTTTCCCATTTTGAGGGTAATTTGCTAATTGGAGGCGTCATCGGCTTCGACAGCAAAGGCAACGCCAAAACGAGAGGCCGCATCATCAGTCAGCCCGAATCAAGTTGGGTTAGTTAGTCAGTCATGGTGGGTAAATTTTCCTCGGGGCCGCTGAGTGGGCGGACTGGCAGTGGGCGGGGCAGCTTTTTGCTTTTAATGTACTCGATGATATTCAATAAATATTTCGGGCCGGTCGAAAGGTTATTGATGTTCGACTTTGATTTATTCGTACGAAGCCTTTGTGATTGTTAAAAATGGATTGAGCATTTTCACATGAATTACTGCTATGAATTCAAATTTAAATATTTGTGGGAATGACAGATATTTTCTATAGAATAAATTCATCGGAAATAATCTGAGTTCGAACGAAATTTTTATAAATCAAAAAATAGTGTTCGTAAAGATTTATATAGAATCCATTAACAGTTTTTATGGTAACAGATTGCTAAAAATTGATTGAAAATTCGCATAAAACTTGATTTATTTATTTTGTATTAGATTTTGGAATACAAAGGTGTTAATCTATTAATATGAAAACACATTTAAATATTGAGTCGATCACGATATTAGACAGCCAAGCTTGTTAATTACTACGGGTGTGGAATGAACATAAATATTTATTTATAAATTGAGTTTGACCGTATAAAATTGAGTTGGAAAAAAATTATGCACTTGCCACATTTAATTGAATTTTGAGCAATGTGGCAGGCATTTTTCATAGAGATACGGGGCCAACATCAAACAAATTCAATTTGGATACGTGTGCACACGTATAATAAAGAATTTAATTACAATATATTTCCATTTTTTTAACTAACCTCTTCTCAACATCTCCACAGGGTTTTCCTGCGCGATGTGGTTGAAACGGCCAACGTTTTCATTAAAATGATGGAGCGCTTCTGCCAGGACACCGTGGTTGTCCAGGATAAAAAGCGTGGTGGTGCTGGCAGCCGCAAGAAGAAGCAGTCGGCAGCCAAGTCCAAACCGTCAACTGCACCACAACCAACTGAGGTAAGAACCAAATTAAAAAAGTAAGAAGGTCTATTTAATGTAAAAATAATAAACCAACAATTTGGGTAACGATTTTTTTTTTTTATAAAGAACAATTTAGTAGAGACCTTATTCAAGTATATACACTCTGTTAAATGTTTTTAAATAAATGGTCGCATTAAATAACTTTATTTTAGCCCGCTGGTCAGCACCCGCTGCTAAGGCCATAAAATACACCCTAAATTGCCAATAAAATTTAAAACGAATTGCAAACAAAAGCAAAGAAGAAGCCGTACAGAAAAAACAATTGTCGTCTAGGCTATGACCATTAAAGATTTATGTGTTTGATCGTGAAATTTAATTGACTGAAAATATGGAAGAAAACAGAGCATAAAAAAAGGAGGAGTCTCGCCCAGCAAGGTTTCTATTTTATTCAATTTTCACTAGTAGGGCTTTTGTGTATTTTCTTCCTCGTGTGCGTATTATTTTCATGGTGCACAATTGCATGTGACCTTAGTTAACGCACCACTGAAATAACACACTCTCACACCCGCGAAAAATGTGAAAAACTTTCGCCACATGGTCTTGCGGGCTTCCGCTCTTTTTCCGCCGCTTTGACCCTTTTCAAAAAGCTCAGTTTTCCGTTAAATACTTTTTTTCGACATGCGCTTGGAAAGAGTTTTACAATTATGACCTTTTTTATTTATGTAATATTTTTACAGTTTTTTATTTAATAAAGCCAAACAGGTTATACAAACATATCTGAATATATGAAAATGCTACACAATTCACGAAAGATTAAAGGTTACCTATAGTGAAAATTGATGGAAAGATCATAAAAACATATAAAACCAGAGCTTGTAAGAGTATTTTGTGTAGGCACTGTTTGTTGTGTCCCAGGTCCTTTTGTATTTCTAACCATCTTTTGTTTTTGCACACTTTGTCGCGTTGGGAAAAGGACGCACCGTCGAGCGTGATTTCCGGGCAGTGGCCACTGGCCTCTGGAGTTTTCTCGATTGTTTGCAACTGCAACCTGCGAATGCTGGGCATTTTCTGTGCATTTTTGTGGCCTCCGATTCGGACCTTTTGTCCGAACGGTGGTAGTTGGGCGTGGACCTGGCATTTTTAAAGGGAGACGAAGGCCGACGCTTACAGGGATAATTTGGTTGATTTTTTTTTTGCGCAGAAGCCTTCAATTGTGTTAATTTTTGACATATTTATTTGTATAGTTGCGGTCGTGTTGCCGTGCCATGGTTGTTGGCACACGTACACGTATTCCGCGCATCAATTTTTCAACAATTAATTTATAAATATTTGCCCTTGCCTCCGAGCGTAAAACATGACAAACGCCACACGGGCGCAAATATTTGCATATTCCTCCCGCTTTCAACATACGAAAAGTTAAACGAGCGATAAACAAAAAGAACGGAATTGTGTAACGTGTAAAATAAGCAAACATCAAATAAAATCAACAACAAAATAACTCAACTGATGCGACTCTAAAATACTTCCCTTTTGGAATGTTCATTTGTACAAATTATTGGGAGAAATATGTTTTGAATTTTTAAATTCATTGATAAATATATTTCTATTGGTATTTTCCCTTAAAATTCCCTGTTAAATACATAATAAATACAATACAAAATTGTATAGCCATGCATATCGTCGATCAATACCGTGTACAAAAAGTAATCTTAATTGCAACGAAAATGTAACGAATTAAAAATACTTCACCGTATGCCCCTCCCTTGTATTTAGAACGATACCGCTCATTGATGTTCAATTAATATGCATTGTTAACAGGTCGAAAAAGGGCAAAAAACGAGAAAACAATGGTTTAAATATTTATCTCTTTTTTGCAAAGCTTTACTTTGTCAGCCAAAATGACATTTAAGCCTAAAAATACTCTTTTGACGTTGTTATAATATGTATACATTAAACGAACAAGACTGTTGTGGTAAGGAAATAGAAAAAAATTATAAGCATTAGTGTTGAAATCACAAAATCAAAATGGTTACCTGATAAAATCGAATTTCAATTAAAATTATTTGCATTTTATCTCAAACAAAGTATGCTAATTTTATTGGAAAATTTATTTTGTATTTGCTTTTTTTGCTGTCACTTGTAAATGGCTGACAAGTATTATTAGGTATTTGGTAATAATTAACACTGCCTATAGCATAATTAATTCTACCGCTTTCATATTTGCGTAACGACTAATTTCCCTCTGTGATTATCCAATTGCAAACAATGGCGAGCAATGAATAATTTATTAATTCATAATTGCAGGAAGAATTGTCGAGCAAATGGGCTGAAATGGCAACGGAAGTGTGCAGCCTCCTATCCGCAGAATTGGAATTGCCGGAGGACGAGCTCCCGATTCCCTTTGACGCTGCATCCGAGAAGTCCATCGATGACCAACGGTGAGTTAGTTGCAACTTGCAACAAGGCCTCCCTGTTCCCAATTTCCCCTCAGTAAAAGGCATTATTAACCCGAAGCCAGTTCACCTTGCAATGGCACAACGTGTTCTTATTATTTTCCTCGGCATTTCTCCACTTTCAGGGAGGATTGCATGATTCGCATAAATAAGCTGCTGCGTTCCGAGAAACTGGACCAGGCCATCGCCCTTATGCGAGCCGCCAGGTGAGTGAACATTGAAAATGCCATTGGCTGGTCCCTGAACTCTGTTGTTAGGTCCCCCAGACGCAATCCCTTTGCAAAATCGCCCTTTTAATAACTTGACATTGACTGGGCCAAGGCACTGACTGGGTGAAGGTACGAAAAGTACGAAAGCAATTCGCATAATAAATTAACCCTAGTCAAAACGGGGAAAAAATCCGCTTGCTCTGTGTCCTTTTGTGCGACTTCTCAGGGTTTTTATCGAATTTTATTTTCCCCCTGTTTGTTTTTCATATTTTCCTCGTTTTCTCTCTGCGCGGCACGAAGCCATTTGCTGCTCTGTGCTGGCCTTAAATTAAATAGTTTTTATTTATTGTCAAGGCAGAGCACGCTGGCACCCCGGTAACTACAGATAATGGCAGTGCCCGGAATTCCTTGTCCTTGCTCTCCTTTTCCCTTCCAGATAATAAGAGGCGGTGGAAAGGTAATGGCGATGGTGCCCTGCACTTCAGACAGACAATTTCTCGGTGCCTGGTTTTTGTCCCTGCCGCTTGCAATTTTTCAGTCAACAAACCACAGAGCTGGCCAGGTGCGAAATGAGGTGAGCGGAGGTGAGTGGAGGTGAGATGAGGAACCGGAGGTCAGAGAAGCCTCCAGTGGATGTGCTTGCCTTTCAATTTAATTGCCCGCTCAATTATGTAAAGCCCATTGAAGACGCGCTCAAGAAATGTTTATTGTTTGCACGGTAAAATTGCGTGAAAATAATTTATCTTTTGCGCGTCAACATTTAAATAAGGGCGAGACCACCGAGAAACACCCGCACAGAAATATCCACAGATGTCCCAGTGTCAAAGGCTGCTGTTGGAGCCATCGAGAACGTGGCTTAAATATTTCCAAGTCATTTAATTACAACCTCATTAAAATTTTCCACCTGCTGCCTGCCAGTTGGTTCTTTTGTCGGAGGATCCATTCGTCTCAAAGGAATCCAATCGATGGCATCGCAAATGGGAGTCTGCCATGCTGGAGGCTCCTGCTCACTGTGCAAATTGGTTTGAGGAAAAGTGTTGCAAGTGAGAAGCTTTAGTGATGTACATACTTCCCAAAATTTATGTACATTTTAATTGTTGCCAACGAAAATTGTTGCATTAAAACGGGAACAATTTCTGCTTTGCCACTGGGCTGCTGCAGTGGCAGCTTAAAAAGGTCTAGACGCTTTTTGTGCTAATAAATTAAAATGCGATATGCATATAGAGCAGTCCCAACGCCGCACCCACCGCCCACGACCACGCCCCCCTTTCCCAGCCTTTTGTCTGGCCATTGTCTGGAACTTTTTTGTGCACCATTGCCTAGCACTTTTTGTCCTGGGGGTTATATTCACTTTATTTTGAATACCCTAAGAAAAAGTCACTCTAATTGGACTTTTGAAAATCGAGTGTAGATTCCTTATATTTTCTTTTTCCAATTAAACTACAGTTTATAAATTGAATAGTCTCAAACTTTTTGTTTTAATGGAGTCATAACTACTTCGAATTTATAAATAACTTTTTTATAGAGCATTTGAATGTAATTTCTATAATAAACAAATTCTTAGGGATATCTTATAATGGTAACCTGTACCTTGATTTTGCAAGCATTTGTATGTTTGAACCTTCTTTTTTATTTTCTCAACTTTCATAAACCTGTTAATGAAAGTGTATTAGTGTTAAAACATAATACGTAAACACATATTTTCTGTGGTAAATTGCAAGCTCCAGGGTATATTATACACTGTATGTGCTTCTGTTTTATGATCTCTCGCTGGCAATGAGAACATTTTTGGTAAGCAAAATATTGAAAATAAACCGAAGTTTGTGGGCACAATACACATTCGCAAACATATACATATGTGTGTGTGAATGTGGGTATCTGGCGTGGCATGTAAGTGCATCGAGGATGATGTACACGAGTGTGTGTCTGCCCAGAATTTTTAAATACTTGGCGAGTCACACTTTTAGGGACTTTTCATTTAACTCGAGCGAAAGGGAAAAAATGGAATTGGTAGCGATTCTGGTTTTTCCTGCAGCTGCAGCTTTTTCTGCTTTCTCCAACGTTGGCTTAATGGGTACCCAGAAATATGTGCTTGGAAAAAACAAACTTTTAAGTGAAGTAAATGCGCAAAATGTTTATTCAAACTTCACTTTGGCTGCAACTTTTAGTTCCTCATCCACCGACCCCCCGCCCCCCTCGCTGCCACGCCCACTTTGCCCGCCTTTTAACTAAGCTTATTTAAGCGTCTGCTGATGCGCTTATTTAGCATAGCAACAGCAACTCCGCTTTCGCCTTTTATTTCGCCTTTGCACATCTCTTGTTGATTTTGTTGACTGGAAATATTTAGCAATTTCAGCTTTTAAAGCCAGAACTCGGTTCACGTTTCTCCAACCTAACAACGTGTATTACCGCTGCAAGTTAACCATCTGGAGAATGGAAAACCTAAATTGAAATCCAAGGTGCATCTCTCTAAATTAAAACAAAATCTAGTTCCTTTCGTGTTGTCAATTATGGAGAAATAATGATTTCAATTTCCAGCGAAACCTTTTTATACAGGTTTGTACCCTTGCAGAGGGTATTACAAACTCAGTCAGAAGTTTTCAACGCAGTAAAGGAGACACCGCAGACCCCATAGGGTATATATTTTCTTGACCAGCATCACGATCTGAATGACCCCAGCCAAAAATCCTAAAAAATAGTTTGTTTAAAAAATAGCCAAGATTCTGCACATGAGAGCAAATTACTTTTCTAAATAAAACCCGATTTTGGATTGGTATCAAAAATCGAAATAATCAAAATGATTGTGATGATGTCCTCTAAGAAGCTGCACCATTAGTTTGGTTTCGATTTATTTGTTGATTTTTTGTCATTTTGATGATGGCAAGAAGTGCCAAAAATCCAAAAATATGGATTTAAATTTTCTATCAGCGGTGTTTTCAGTCTCTTTTAAAATTTAGAAAATAATTTTGTTTGCTTTGAGAAACGCAGGTTAATATCAAACAATTCATTATCCCGTATTATAATTTTAATCGCAGAATTTCTGAAAAATTCGAGCGCTAGCCAAAAATATCGATTCATAATTAATGCAGTTTCGCTCAATGCGATTAAAAATGTTTAGCCTTGTACTAGCATTTTCCGTTTTTTCAGTGAAATAAATAGTTTATCCTCTGGCCACGTGCCACACAACAATATTGAATATAATCGAACTAAAAAGCCAAAAGCCCCAAACCGCCAGCCCGATGGTTTTCATAGATTTTTCATGGTCCATAATTAACCGATATTCTTCCCTGACCAATATACTGGCATACTAAAAACCGCTAATTATCGCCCGGCCGCATCGCTGTAAAAGTTGTACGCAAAATATGTCGCATAACTTTTAAATGAGCACACGCAAATGTTGACGCTAACCGAAAAATTCTGGCCACCCCATGGATACGGGGTCTCTGTTGCACATTGTTGTATCCTGCTGGTAGCAACTAACGAGCACCGAAAATGATACCCGCAGGATTACAAACGCACACACACACAGCAAATAGGACAATGTACAAGGGGGCGTGGCCATGGGCATGTCAGTCAATTTATTGGCTCGACGACAGCGGGAAACATAAGTTGCACTATCGCCTACAAGCACGGCCACAAATAAGCATAAATATGTCGCTTAGAGGGACTTACTCCCTCTTTCCATTCCCGCCTGCTTGCCACTGATATGGGCCTGTGCCTCCGACTGGCAAAGCGGACAAGGCCGTTCGATAACACTGCAACACACAATTTGGCCCATTGGGTTTATAAAACTTAGGAGAAAGTAGAATGTTCAGGTTTTCCCCAATATCCATAATATTTAAACTTATAGAACATTTGGTGGTTTATATTTTGAGTTCAAGTTGATTATTTTTAAAAGATTGATTACTTAGTTAATTTTGTAAAAATTTCGTAATATTATTTTCTTAGTTTTGTAAAGATAACTCTTTACTATTTACCCTTAAAAATATATTAAAAAAATTGTTTTAATCATTTTAGTAAGTAGAGAATAAATATAATTTTTAAATCAACTTCTAGGGTAACCTGAATACCAAATATTTTTCTTCCATTAGCTGCTCTCTCTTGTTCTGCTTTTGCTGTGCGTTGCATATTAAGCTGCTTTCAAATATTAAATTAACAGCGGCAACGTTGCGAAAAGCCTGCAACGTTGCACCATCAGAGCGGCGCAGATTATATTGTGTGTGGCTCCGCAAAGGGAAAGAAAGAAGGCAGGACACACACAACATGTGAAAGGGCGGACAAGAATGGGCTGTGTATCCTGACGCAATTTAAAACGCATCAATTTCAGTTTTCTCCTCTGAAAACGAACCGATTTTGGACAACATGACGGGGCTGCAGGCCTTTTAACACTTCTGTTTTTTTATATGGTTGTGATCTATCATTATGTTTTCTATGGGCCTATTTGAAATGTTATGCCTTTTGAATAAATCGAACGATTTTGTAAAGCTTTGCAACCATAAGCTATTGACAGGCAGTTTTGTAGCCTGCAATGAACACGTTTACATGGAGTTGTATGTGCTTGATTAGTGGTTGGCTCTGTGAGTCAACATGAAAAGCTGCTAATCAGAGCGAAAACAAAACGAACGAATTGAAGCCCCAATAATACCAGGCAATCAAAATCCGACTGCCTCTTTTGTTCGTTAAAAATAGGGAATAGTCAATAAATCGTTTTTTTTGTAAAATATTCAAAATTGTTTGGTTTGAATTAAATGTGCTGTGCAATTATATATCCATCTAGGCTTACCTAAATTCAAAAGCAATTCAAAGGTTTTTAAAGAACTTGTTATGTCAAAACCATTTAAGAGTCGTATATATTGGGTGATAAATCTGTAAGCCTATGATAACAAGGACATGTCCTGGTTAATAATTAAATTTCCTGCCAACTTCCGTGCTTTAACTTTAATGCAATACATTTTTCTGTGTTCGTTCTAACGAATCGTTTTTATTTTTGCATTCCGCAGGGAAGTTTGGCCGGAGAACGAAGTGTTCGGTGCAATTTCCGCTGCACCGGAAGACGAACTGCTGCTGCTGCGTGAGATTTTCATGTCCAACATTACAACAGGTGAGTGAGACAAAAAGCCAGAGAGAGTGGAAAAATAGTGTCCGAAGTGCGGTGGAAAGTGGGACAACGCTCCGCCTTTCCCTTCCCTCTCTTGCCGGCATTTTAATTATTGTTTATTACTATGCATTATGGAGGAGCGTGCTCGCACAAGCTTCCCCTGACCGTTGTTTTAATTAAAAATGAAAATCTGCCACTTGGCTTTTGCGTGTCATTTATCTTGCGCTGTCTGTTGCCTCATTCTGCGTCCTACGTCCTTCGTCCTTTGTCCAGAGTTTCGCCGTCCTGGGCAGTTGGGGCCACTTCCGGTGCTGCATTTTGCATCTCCACTCTATAAATTCGCTAGCTGAAATAAGCCAAATTATAGCGCAACTTTCAGTTCTGTCTGTTGGTTTGTGTGTGTTTGAAGGTATGTCTGTGTGTGTGTTCTTGTTGCATTGTCTAAGTTTTTGCAGGCTCCGTTTGGCTTTTTGCCTTCTGGCCATGAAGCCTCGTCCTTCGGGCCGCCGAAGTTCGCTTAACAAATTATCCAACAGAAATTCTTGCGCTTCATTAAAAGTAAAAAATGAGGCAGTAAAGGACGAGCATTCCCATCCCAATCCCTATCCTTATTCCGATCCCCATTCCTTATCCTGTTTTTCTGCCAGCTCTCCGCCTTGCTGGACTAAATGAAAATATATTAAACGCGTAATTGTTTTATTCTATTTTTTGTTTGCCCATCCTGCCAAGTGCATTGGGTTGTGAAATTCCTGTTGTTTGGATTCGTTCAATTTGAGAGTCAGCGAAGCGTTGACAATTTGCTGCCCATATTTTCTTCCCTGCCAACTACCAGAATATTTTGTTTACCTTCGACATGACTTTTCAATTTGGCCTCGGTGCACCGGAAATGCAAAAGCCGCGCGATTTTGTTTAGACATGTCTAATGGCTTTTGGGTTTTTGACAAGCTCAACATATATATATTCCATATGTTACATCCTTGGCTCGTTACCTTCTCTATATGTATTTGCCTTATCGCCTCACTGCAGTATCCTGTTTCGGTGGCTTTTTTGTTTCAAAGGATATTCGAAAGCTGCACTGGTGGTGAAAAGTTTTTGACAAGCGCTTTAAAGCGCATCCATAGCTGACGTTTCCATTTTTTGTCTTTTAATGAAATATGTATAATATAATACAAGGACACCAAAGATCTTTTTGCCAACGGAAAAGTTTTCAACTTTTGCTGCGTCGTACAGTTAATCGAGATTTTTGTGTGCGAAAATTTATGATTTCCGCCGTGGAAGCAAACTTATATCAAGAGTTTTTGTGTTCGTTATATAGTATATCAGGTTTGGTCTTTATAAAACAGAACTATGAGCAAAGAAGACTGCTTTATTATTAAAGTTTTCTGTTGATAAACTTTGTATAGGGGGTATATGTACAGGTGGTCTTAAGCACTTAATCCTTCTTGGAAACTATATTATTTAAAATTCAGTGTAAAAACTTACAAAATCGGGAAAGAATCATTTTCTTAGGCATGAAAATGGTATTTTGTCATCTTATACTATTTAACTTTAACAAGTTAATTGATATACTTTTGTAAAAAGCATTTTATTTATTTTTGGGGATTTTAATATAATAGAAAGCCAGTACGCCCACATAGTTTTAAGGCTCTAGGAATCCCTTTGTGCGGTAAATTTAATTAAATTTCAATTTAAAGTAGCATACCCATATTCCCTTACAAATGGATTGAACAATGGCCGGACAATGGCTTTTGGGTTTGTGCGAGTGGGCGTGGTTGTGTGTATGCCTGTGTGTGTGCGAGTGTGCGTGAGTGTGCGTGGGTGAGGTGCGCATCCTTTTACTGTTTCGACCGTGTCTGTGCCTTGGAGCACAGTGCCTGCAATCCGTCCGTCGGTCCGTCGATGGGTCCACATGAAAGAGTCTCTGTTGGCGTTCAAACGCAGCGCTTAAAGCATTTGAAACCCTCTTTTATGTCTGCGTCATCGGTTTTACTTTTTTACCCTCATTTTTAGCCCATCGATGGGGTTGAGCTCGTTAAGCTCCCGAACAAAAGCGTGACCGTTCTAATAGCGACCAGGGGATTTGATGGGCAGCTTAACGCCCGCCGGCCGTCAATAGATTGATGTCCAGTTGACAGTTTGCCGGCTGCAACAATATGCAATTTACCAAAGGCAGTGGTCATCGAAAAAATTCCGAACGCTTCACCCTCCACCACAAATTTATATACTATATATATATAAAATGCTCATGCTAATGCCCGGGTCACAAAAACCGAGTCCCCAAAGTGGCCATTGAATAGGAACGTGTTTCCCACTCGCTTTTTGCCCACGAACATTTTATTAATTACCGGCGACCGCAAACTCCATGTAGTATGCTCCCTGCTTGTGGTTTGGCTTTAATTAATATTTTTTATGGGACATACCCTTTAAATTTGGGCGTATATGGATTCTTTAAAATCTCTACTCTTTTATAAACAAATAACAAAAAATATTAAATAAGGACATGTTAGGTTACCTATCCTTAGAATAGGAATATCATACAATATGAATTGTTTTCGATGTATGAAAGGGCTCTAAATTTCGTATCCATTGCCCGTAGCGGTTATTTTAAAAAACAATTATTTATTTATCCACCCAAGTGGGTATAATTGAATTGAATCGAAGTTTATCCTTCCCATTTAATTATTACACTCCATATTAAATTGGCTTTGTGTTGGCTCTGCCCATTGGGCAAGACAAACAGCCGGAGCATTGACACTTTGCATAATTTATAACACTTGTCTGTGTGTACCGTACCCCTGTTCCTGTACACATACATACATATGCAGTCCTTGTTTCAATTTCAAATTGAAATGCAAACTTAATTCCGGGGGAAAAAGAGAGCATCGCAGGAGGTGTGAGATTGTGCTGCATGCGAGTCTGTTTGCTTAGTTAAATCTTAATCAAGTTGCTTCGTTGATTTCGATTTGTGGCGCGCATAATAAATGAGGAGTCCTTTGTCCCGCCGCTTCCGGATCCCTCTCGCTGGCGAAATCAACGCCCAGGACTCGTACAAAAATAACACAAAAATCCACTCAAGTGTTAAAACAAGAACAACACCAACAAAAACAACAAGAAAGTGCCAAGCGCTAACGGGGACAGTGAATATATTTGTGTATATGTGTATTATTTCAAGTCCTGCCAAGTCTGTGCGCCAAGTCCTTAACTGATTTCCCAGCGCAAACAAGTTGGTCTCTCCAGTTGTCGTTGTTTTGGTCCTTAGTCCTCAGTCCGCAATCCTCAATCCCCGGTCCTCGGATCTCAGTCCTGTGTCCTGTGTCCCCTGTCTCCTGTCCCCGCTCTTTGTTCGCATAAAAATACAAAGTTTATGTTATGAACACAAATAAAAACAAAAGCACACAACAAAGCTCGCCCAAGAACAACAGAAAGTGCGCAAAAAAATACGAGCCAGGAAAGGAATAAAATACAATAAAATGAAATAAAATATCAACAACAGCACACAGAAGAGAACAGAGTCATTTGGACACTACCGAACTGCACACAGAAAATAAAAACAGGATCAGAAAACAAAACTAAGCTTCTTTAAAACTACTTTGAGATTTTATATAAATCTAAAGAAACGAATTCCCAGTATTATTTTAACATATTGGTAAATTGGCAATCTAATCCTTAAGAAATAATCAACATAGAAGATTCGATGGGTTTACCTTTCCTATAGATTTTGATAGGGAAACCCTCAATATTCTAAGTGTAAGAATCGTAGCCCCTTTCAACAGTATATTTGCAAGTTGACGTGTCGTGTCTGCTGTCCCCGTTTTCCAAATCCAGTGCCACAAAGAGTGCGATTCCAGGCGTCAACCACAACTCCCATCAACACACTCCGGCACACATTCACGGTGGACTCGGAGTTCCAGATGTGGATGCGGATGGTCCGGTGATGACACTTACTCAATTAGGTGACTTTTCTCGACACTGATTTGCCATTTCTGCTGGCCATTTTTATTGGGTCGTAACTTTCTGCTTAATGGCTCTCTATTCGTTTACCTTGATTAGTTTAGCCGTCATTTGTGTTGGCTTTTTATTATCCGCAGTATAGTTTTAATTTTTGCATTTTTGAAATAATCTAATAACCCCGGAAAAAAACATGCTGCAGGTGCTTTATTTTTATATTTTTATTTATTTTTATTTTTATTGATATTAATGTTATTTCTCTTTGCCTTTGCAAATATTTAAAACCATTGAATTTATGGAAACAGTGTTAAAAAAATATTAAACCAGGTGTTTGTATCCGGAAAGAGCTTTTACTTTTCATTGGGCTCAAATTTGCTTTTTGATAAAAAAGAAATATTAATCATTTGCGCTGGTTAGAATAAGATTACATTTTTGTCTGTTTGTGAATTTAGACTGCCCTTGTATGTTTAACCTCTGTTTTTTCATCTGACCTCGCTATTTTTTCCACTACTCATAAATAAAAGCACACAAACCACACCTGCGCTCTCACTTTTCTCCTGGGATTTTCGGGCCTCGGCACTGTTGGCGGCAATGACATTCAAAATATGTAATGTAACCGAAAAATTTAACTTGAAATTGAAAAGCAAAAAAAGTTTGTCGCCGGGCCCAGAGACTTCAGAATGCTGGTTGGAAAAAACAGAAATTCGTGTGCGGAATTTTACCTCTAGTAAACATAAAACGCAGCATACTTTGGGGACACTAGCTCGCAACTGGGCGACAATAAAAAGCAAGCAAAGCGGATAGACCCGATAGAGGAGTTCCGTGGTAAGCGGTGTAGAAAGGGGTAAAGCGTGAGGCAAAAGTCATAACGAGTGCAAAACCATGAAATGAAATCGTTACCGTCCCACCCTCCAATCCTGGTTTGCCAGGATCATCTGGCTTTAGGTAAATACCCTATTCAAACCTCACCTCATGTGAAAATCCTCTTCCGACTAAAAAGGTAGAAGTTTACCTTAAAAAAAAAATAGAATAAGTCTCCCACAGAAGTTTATTTT